TAATTTAACAGTGATAGCCTACATACCCCATGCATACATATCTGGAAAATGACTATAGATATTTGGTCTGTGTATTTATAACATTTGTGGACAAAAGTAAATTTTACTTGGCAACATTTGAATGGGAAATGTATATTGATGTTGATTTTTATTGCGTCATGCACAGTGTTTTTGACATGATATGTCTCGCGCGCTTCAGATATAATTGCATCCTTAGGGCAACCTCAATGTTGAACCCTCATGAAGTTCATATCAAATATTTTATAATAAAATTTTGAGGAATTAAAAATTTAGAACCCCAGATTAATTTGGTCCTCCATTGGTGAATCCCTGATAGGGTTATTAAAAATAAAATGGTGGAGGAATTGGAGAAAACAAGAGCAGCAACAGAGGAAGTGAAGCTGTCTCTTCTTCTTGTAGATACGTTTGAATATATCGTGAAACTCAAAAAGACATCACCGGAAAAAACTCAATTCCGATCAATCTAGTACAAACCCATGTCGTTCATCAAGTCTCCGAGCATTGAAAACCTCAAATCCCACCAATCCATCAACAAATTTTGATACCGTCGTCGAATCCAATTTCCGTCTGAGATCCAGACACCATATTAGTATTCAGAGACATCAAGAAATTCTACAGTCTAGGAAAATCAATAATCTTAAGATGATTTGGAATTTTAATCGGAGAAGACGAAAGAATAGCGATAGGAAAAACCAAAAAAAAAATCGATAAAAAAGAAATTATTTCACTTATAGAAAAAGGACAGCTGGTCGGACGAACTCCTTAAAAACCGACTCCAAAAACTCTTCTGCAAAAATCGGTTCATAGAAAAAATGAACTTTTACATTTATTTTAAATCCAAAAAATTATCTGGACCCACTTAAAAACCTATGATGAATCGCTAATGGAGCTGCCCTTATAGTACTAAGATGTAAAAAACGCATGATACGCGCTAGTATATAATTTCATTAATGTGGCATTGGGTCTTAGTACCATAACAATGCAAAGTCGTAAACTAACTGTAAAACTTGTGTGTGAACAAAAAAAAAAACTTATGTGTGCATTTTTTCTCAACCGAATGATTTCGGCGTGAAGGCTGCAGAAATTAAATATTTGAGATATATGAAATGGTCGAGTTTTCCTGGTAATTTAAAATCAGTACCCAACTTAAAAAAAAAAAAAACAGTAACCAATTATGATTAAACTCGCTGTAAAAATATTCGAATCTTGATGAAGTCAATTTACAAGACGAATCTTCAACTAGTTGATCAACACAGTAGCTAACTTATGTGTATTTGATCATAAAATACAAATTAAAGGATCATTTTGATTCTTTACAATAGTTACAAAAATCAAGAGTCTCAACTGAAAAAAAAAAGTTAAGATAAGATGATTCAAGATTTTGGTTGCTTTTTAAAACTTCAATCTTCATTTTACGTTTTAATACTATTTAAGGATGCTTTTTGTTTTTGATTAAAATCAATCCTAGATAGTTTAACTATGTATTTAACTTTATGACTTTTTCTTAAATTGATTCCACATTTATCCTTGATTACAAGCTCAAATTTAGGAACCTTCATGTACATGTGTGGCCGTCACAGCAAAATGTACTAATGAGTCGATATGGGTTAGATTTTTTTTTTATTCATGGGGATCCGTATCTATGTAATAATTGGATTGAAGAAATAAACAAATGCAGCTGTGGTGACAGAGTAGTAACTAAAGAGTTTTTTCTTCTTTTCCTAGCTAGAGCATAATTTCGGTTATTTACAAATTACAATATTACACACCTTAAAAATCATGCAAAAACAACTTAAAATGTGGATTATAAAGGAAACTGAAGTTCATAACCCCATAACTTGGGTAAACACTACATCAATTGTCTCAAAGCAACTAGCATAAGAATATGCTAAATAAAACTAGAAGCTGAATTTTTTTATTAGTTGAACCGATAAAATTTTGGATAAAATTTCTGGTTTTATTACGCTGAAGCAACATTACATAAAAAAAATTATTAAAAGAAATTATCTAAAAAGATAGTTGTTGATAGAAACATGCAGCTTGAATCAATACAATAATAGATAAAAAATTAATTATATATGAAAAAAATATATACTAGTGATTATTTACGATATTGGTTAAAAGAGCTGAATTCGAATCTTTTCACTACAATTTTATAGATTCCATAGATTAATATGAGCTTTGGCTCGAGAGTTTTCGACTATCCAAAAAAAACAAAAAAAAATATCATCACGTTGTTGTGGTTTTTTCATGATGGTATTTTTTTGTACCGCTGAAGTCTGAAACATTTAAAATAGTGTGCAATCAAGATTTTAAGATAATATAATATCCGGTTTACAAAAAATAAAACTTGTTGGTTGGGAAATAGTAGAACAAACGAGCTAGAGAGAGAGAGAGGTTAAAAGAGACACAGAGGCACAAACTCACTCAAAAGCAAAACCATTTTGGCTAAACCGAAAGACTCGGTCGGAGTCTAGAGCCTGTCTCTTCCGACATCGTCTGCCACACCTCACGTGCATGCTCACCCAATACTCACGTGCACACGCATTTTTTAGTCTTTTTTTGTATTACTAAAAAAAAATATTTATAGACTATTATTGTAGTTATAATTAATGTTGGGAGAAACTGGGGAATTCATAAAATCCCAAGGAAAAAAGATCTTTTATTTATACGGTGCATGATCACCGTACGAGAAATATATACATGTCACTTTCGATTTGAGGAAAGAATATGTTTGCAGTATATTACGTAGAAGCAAAAGTCAAAAGACTCAAAAGTGGGAAGTAAAAAAGGCTTTTTTTTTTCTTTTCTTTTTTTATCGGGGACTTAATTACAGTATTGAAATTTAGAGAGTTTTACTAGAATCCAAACGCACTAAAAAAAGAAAAAGGTTATATAGTGAGAACTTAATCCATACAATGATTAAGTGTTATTAGTTATTAAGATGGTTAATTAGTTTTGATGGAAGGAGTGATTTGCTAAACACATCAATTGGTGTACGTACATATACCTCCACGCGCAGCAAATATTGACCCAAAAGGAAACCAAATTAAAGCATGCCTACTTTCATTCTTGTTGAGATTTACTTTTTGGTGCCATATCTTTTGAATTTTTGATCCTATAAATGTCTAAACTCAACTTATCCAACTTTACATTCCATTTTGTGGAATAACTTTTCATCTGAATTTAATGTTTCCAGATAGTTTCACCTCTTTTTTTGTTTGCAACTGCAATTGCATGCCATTAACAGAATCGGAGTACAGCCATAAGGCAAAAGAAAAAAAGACGAACACAAGAATGGGGATATAACACAAAAAACAGAGACGGTGTGACATATCATACGTTTTAATTCACTAAAAGATTACCAATTGATTTTTCATTTTAAGCTTGAAATTATTTGATGTCTTTGTTTTCTTATATTTTTGATCAAAACGTTAGTTAAGAGATACTTAATCTAAATATATGAGTCGTTGTGCTCAATTTTTTTAATTATATTCAAATAGTCTAATAAATTAATACAGAAATCAAAACAGTTCACTATATACATTGAGCAAACATCTTCAAAGTATTGACATACAATCAGTAAAGAATATCTACTTTGGAAAGAGTCAGAGTTGTTCACGAAACATGTTTAAATGTTCCAAATTAAATTCTCTTTTTTAAACATAGAATAACTTAAAGTCACAGTACTGCATAAAAAGGTAATAATTGGGTCAAAACCTTCCCCACTACATACATAGATACTGAGAACAAATAAAATCGAAATCGAAATCAAGAAGAGCAAAATTTAACTACCTGTTTTCCAGAAATAATAGTTAAATCATATGTTTTATTTAAATCAATAAGAGACGACAAAAGAATAAAAATCAATAAGAAAGATGGCGTTGAACCGAAAAGGCTTTACTACATTTTTTATACTACATTTTATATACGTCGAGAGCTGAAAGTAAGGAAGAAATTACTCTCTCTTTCTGTCCAGGTTAATTGTAAAGCACTTAAAAAAACACATTATATTAAAAAAGCAGATGATTAATAATTCTTTCCCAAAAAATTAATTATTACACATGAAGCTTAGCTTTAATTGGAGTATAATGATGTCCGTAGCTCTGTAAACATGTGAAGTTCTCCTCCTTTTGCGGCTAGTGGGTGCTCCATTGCGTATCAAAAGGAGTATTATTATAGTCCAAATTAAAAAAAAAAATAGTATTTGTTTTTGGTGACCAAAGTCATTATTTCCAATGTTTTTGTGTTCATAGCTCGTTATTTTTTTCTCGCATTATACGGACATGTCTCAATTTGGACCAATCCATAATAAATAAACAATAATTATATATATGTTAGATATACATCAATTTATGACTATCAACAGATATGCGATGAGCTTTATGCTCTTGTTTGTTTAAAAGAAATAAACTAATATTTTATCTTTATTGTGGTAAGTAAACTAGTAACTCTTTCTCTTCTTTATTAGTTGTTTTTATTATTTGTTTAATAACAAAAGATCTGTATATAAAGAAAAACCGGGACAACTTTCTCTTCTGGTAAGAAATTTTTAAATTTCATTTGATTTGGTTTCTATTTATCGATCTTCCGAACCTAATCCCCAGTTTTTTTTTTTGACTGATTAATTTTACACTAATAAAATTATTTAATTGAATGAAAGCTCTTTCACGCTTTATTCGAAACCCCGCCATAAAAATACAAAACCTTAAGAAAATTCCAGATCATTAAAAATAAAAAGTTATGAAAAATATGGAAAGATTAACTGATTTTTTACCATGGACTAATATCCAACAACAAAAATTACAATCTTAAAAAAGATAAAAAAATGTAAAAGAATAGTAAAAAAAAAGGTGGGACCGACAAGAAGAAGACATCAAGTGGGGTGCCACGTCAGAAGGCATAAGAAAAGATTTCATCTTTCCGCATGTATCCGATCCCAATCGGCTTAAATCTCAAATTGAAAATAAAAAAAAATTAAAAACAAAAGAAAAAAAAACACTTGAGAATCTGCAAAAACACCCAAAAAATGAAAAGTTTCAAAGCTTTTAAGAGCTTAAATTTTGCTCAGATGCTCTGAAGCTTCAAATATTCGTATGAACTAGAAAAGTCTTTGTCTTTTTTTTTTCCCTCTTAGCAGAATGATCTTTGTTTCAAAATCATTAGTTAGTTTCTCGTGCTCTTCTCCTTTTCCCCTTTTAGAGTAGAGCAATACAGATTCGTTTTGATTTTGTTGAAGAACTCTGTTTCCTGAAACAACAAAAGAAAACAAAAATTAGTTTATTTTTTGCTTTTTCTTTCTGGAAACCATGAAGGCTCCCTCAAATGGATTTCATCCCAATTCCACCGAAGGTACAAGCTTTTTATGTTCTTCATTTCGAGATTAAATTACAAAAAAAATTCTTTCTCAAGCTTTCTGGGTTTGGAATTCATCATAGTTTCTGCATTTCATGTTTTGTGATTTTCGTGATTGAAAATTGGTTTCTATTATTCTATTTCAACATGGAGTCAGCCCAAATCCACAAATCGTGTTTCTTTCAGTGTATTTAATAGAGTGGTTGTCACATAAATGCCGCAAATTTTTTGATAAAATTTTCAGACTTTACATGAAAAATATGCAAGATTTCATCGTATAACAGATTTTAATTGGATGAACAGGAGAGAAGAAAGCAATCAATTCTCAACTATGGCACGCTTGTGCAGGGCCTTTGGTTTCATTGCCTCCTGTGGGAAGTCTTGTGGTTTACTTCCCTCAAGGACATAGTGAGCAAGTAGGTTCCAAACGCAAACGAGAAACGCTATTTTTTTTTTTTGACGTTTGAAACAATTGAACCCTTTTTAATAGCAATCAATCCAAATAACGATCAATGAACTCTTTTCAGGTTGCAGCATCGATGCAAAAGCAAACCGATTTTATACCTAATTACCCAAATCTTCCTTCTAAGCTGATTTGCTTGCTTCACAGTGTTACCTTACATGTAAGCCTCTTTTGTCCCCAACTTGTGAATCATAATCAGAGAGAGGAGAAGAAGAGAACTAATCATAACTTGTGAAAATCTGAATCAGGCTGATACAGAGACCGATGAAGTTTATGCACAAATGACTCTTCAACCTGTGAATAAGGTTTGAATCTTCAATATCCATGATTTTAGCTTACGATTTGAGAACTTTTTTAACACTTGAGTTTTGCCTGATCATCCAAAATGTTGTTATAGTACGACAGAGAAGCATTGCTAGCTTCTGATATGGGCCTGAAGCTAAACAGACAACCTACTGAGTTTTTCTGCAAGACTCTTACAGCGAGTGACACGAGCACTCACGGTGGATTCTCTGTACCACGTCGTGCAGCTGAGAAAATATTCCCTCCTCTTGTATGTCTCTGATCAAAGCTACTCTCAAATTGTTTGTTTCTTCCCTCCTGCTTCCTCTTCTGAATCTGTTTTGCTAAAATTTCTGAGGATGCTAAAAACAGGATTTCTCGATGCAACCGCCTGCACAAGAGATTGTAGCTAAAGATTTACACGACACTACATGGACCTTCAGACATATTTATCGAGGTACAAATCATCTCAAGATTGGATTATTAACTCAAAAGAGTGAAATCTTCAATCTGATTTGTCTTCTTTGCTGTAATCTGATCTCAGGCCAGCCAAAAAGACACTTGCTTACTACAGGTTGGAGCGTTTTTGTCAGCACAAAGAGACTATTCGCGGGTGATTCAGTTTTGTTTGTAAGGTATGAGTCATGCTTAGATAAAAAAACTAAGCAGAAATTGATTTTCCTCATCTCATAAGGGGAACTTGGGGTTTAATTACTGCTTTGCAGAGATGAGAAATCACAGCTTATGTTGGGTATAAGACGTGCAAATAGACAAACACCGACTCTTTCCTCATCGGTCATATCCAGCGACAGTATGCACATTGGGATTCTTGCAGCTGCAGCTCATGCTAATGCCAACAGTAGCCCATTTACCATCTTCTTCAATCCAAGGGCAAGTCCTTCAGAGTTTGTAGTTCCTTTAGCCAAATACAACAAAGCGTTGTATGCTCAAGTATCTCTTGGAATGCGATTCCGGATGATGTTTGAAACCGAGGATTGTGGGGTTCGTAGATATATGGGTACAGTCACGGGGATTAGTGATCTTGACCCTGTTAGATGGAAGGGCTCACAATGGCGTAACCTTCAGGTAATGTATAGACTTTTGGTAAACTCATGATTATAATGATTATTTATTCTGAACCTTTTGTGCATGGTTTATGAGCAGGTAGGATGGGATGAATCAACAGCTGGAGATAGGCCAAGCCGAGTCTCCATCTGGGAAATCGAACCCGTCATAACTCCTTTTTACATATGCCCTCCTCCTTTCTTCAGACCAAAGTACCCGAGGCAACCAGGGATGCCAGGTAAAGTTAACTTCCATTTATCAGACCAAAGCATCGACATGTTTGATTTAAGTTTTCGGATACTAACCTTGGAGGTTTCTGTTCCAGATGATGACTTGGACATCGAAAATGCTTTCAAAAGAGCAATGCCTTGGATGGGAGAAGAATTTGGAATGAAAGACGCACAGAGTTCGATGTTTCCTGGTTTAAGTCTAGTTCAGTGGATGAGTATGCAGCAAAACAATCCATTGTCAGCGACTACTCAGCTTCCCTCTGCTCTCTCATCTTATAACCTACCAAACAATTTTGCTTCTAACGACCCTTCAAAGCTGTTGAACTTCCAATCCCCAAACCTCTCTCCCGCAAATTCTCAATTCAACAAACCGAACATGGTTAACCATATCAGTCAACAGATGCAAGCACAACCCGCCATTGTGAAATCTCAGCAGCAACAACAACAACAACAACAACAGCTGCAACAACAAGTACAGATGTCACATCAACAGCTGCAGCAACATCATCAGCAGCAGCAAGGGATTTATAACATAGGTTCCGTAAACAATGGCGTGACTGTTGTTTCTAACCAAGCCTCATGTCAGAATCAGTCTACTGGTTTTTCTCAGGCTCAGCTTCAGCAGCAGTCAATGCTCTCTAATGGTGCTACGATGACACAACAGAACATAGTTTCCGGTGGGATTAAGGGCTCGTCTCAAATGACATCGCTTGCGCAAGAATTGCAGTTTCAGCAGCAACTGGAATTGCACAACAGTAGCCAATTATTGAGAAACCAGCAAGAACAGTCCTCGATGCATACACTACAACAAACTCTGTCCCAAAATCCTCAGCAACTCCAGATGCAACAACAATCATCAAAACAAAGTCCCTCACAACAACTTCAGTTGCAGCTACTACAGAAGTTACAGCAGCAGCAACAGCAGCAGTCAATACCTCCAGTAAGTTCGTCCATACAGCCACAGTTATCGGCGTTGCAGCAGGCACAAAGCCATCAACTGCAACAACTTCTGTCGTCTCAGAATCAACAGCCCTTGGCACATGGTAATAACAGCTTCTCAGCTTCAACTTTCATGCAGCCTCCACAGATTCAGGTGAGTCATCAGCAACAAGGACAGATGAACAATAAACCTCTTGTAACCACCGGAAGATCACATTCTGGTCACACAGATGGAGAAGCTCCTTCTTGTTCAACGTCACCTTCCGCCAATAACACCGGACATGATAATGTTTCACCGACGAATTTCTTGAGCAGAAATCTACAGCAAGGACAAGGAGTATCTGTGTCTCCATCTGATTCAGTCTTTGAGCGTGCAAGCAATCAAGGCCAAGAGCTTTACGCAAAAACAGAGAGCCGGGTCAATCAAGGCATGGTGAATTTGAAGAGTGCTCCTGAACACTTCAAGTTTAAAGGTGCGGTAACAGATCAACTCGATGTATCCACAGCGGGAGCGACGTATTGTCCTGATGTTGTTGGCCCTGCACAGCAGCAACAGACTTTCCCATTACCATCATTCGGTTTTGATGGAGATTGCCAATCTCAACATCCAAGAAACAGCTTAGGTTTCGCTGGTAATCTCGAAGCCGTAACTTCTGATGCTCTCTATTCTCAAAAGGACTTTCATAACTTGGTTCCAAACTATGGCAACGCACCAAGGGACATCGAGACCGAGCTATCCAGTGCTGCAATCAGTTCTCAGTCATTTGGTATTCCCAGCATTCCTTTTAAGTCCGGAGGTTCAAATGAGATTGGTGGCATCAATGATTCAGGCATCATGAATGGTGGTGGACTCTGGCCCAATCAGACTCAGAGAATGCGAACATATACAAAGGTTAGATCTCTTCTTCTCCATCAAACAAAGCTCCGATCTTACTGCAACTTAATTAACGCAAAAAGTTCTAAACTCCTTGAAGGTTCAAAAACGAGGGTCAGTAGGAAGATCAATAGATGTTACTCGTTATAGCGGCTACGAGGAACTCAGGCATGACTTAGCAAGAATGTTTGGCATTGAAGGACAGCTCGAAGATCCACAAACCTCTGATTGGAAACTCGTCTACACAGATCATGAAAACGATATATTGCTCGTTGGTGATGATCCTTGGGAGTAAGTTCCAGACCAACAACAAGCTCTTATTAAAAATCTCTCTGAAACCAAATCAAAGAATTCAACATTCTGACCATCCTTTTGGCTGTTTTTTTTTTCCTCAGGGAGTTTGTGAACTGCGTGCAAAACATAAAGATACTATCATCAGCAGAAGTCCAGCAAATGAGCTTAGACGGAGATCTTGCAGCTATCCCAGCCACAAACCAAGCCTGCAGCGAAACAGACAGCGGAAATGCTTGGAAAGTACACTATGAAGACACTTCGGCCGCAGCTTCATTCAACAGATAGAAAACAAAAAAGATGCAAATACACCAAAATCAACTTCAAAGTACAGCCTTTTTTTCTTGTACTGCAAACAACAAACTGAGAAGACGAAGAGGAAGAAGAAGATACTGCAAGGTATATATTCATTTTTATAGGACAGTGATTTGATTTTTTCAATCTAACTTGATGTTGTTGTATTTTCTTGTTTCCATATTTTATATAACTTGTGAGCAACAAAAAAAAGGACAAGTCTATTACGAGTGTCTTAAAACAGATACTACAATGTAATGTAACTAAAGCTGATATTTTTGTTCCTCTCGCTTCAATGCCCAATTATCTTGGAAAATTGACAGGGTCTCTTAAAACAGTCAACAAAAAAAAAAAAGGATTTGATAACGTGGAAAACAAGACAACAAATTCAAAGAGTCTCAAGAGTTGTGAGTTTACCCGCGTGACCACACAATGAGACTAGCTTGTTCATATATCCGCCACGTGTCAATCCTTTGACATTTGGCGGCGTTTTATTAGAGCACAAACTACAAACGCGCTCTCTTTGACATATGAGTTTGACCTTTTTCTTCTTCACGCGCCACAAAAAGTCAAAAACTCACTCTTCACTTCGTCGCGTATATATACAGAACCTAAAGCGGCAAATTATATTATCCAATTCAAATCAGACCAAAGCTAACTGAAGACTGAAGAGTGAGGAACAGAGCTAAACCGTAAACAGAATCGTACTGTACCGAATAAAACCGGGTGGTTTGGTTGTTGATGGAGGGATCATCGTCGTCGTCGTCGTCGTCAAAGTACAAAGGCGTGAGGAAGAGGAAATGGGGGAAATGGGTATCAGAGATAAGGCTTCCCAACAGCAGAGAACGTATTTGGTTGGGCTCTTACGACACGCCTGAGAAGGCGGCGCGTGCCTTCGACGCTGCTCTCTTCTGCCTCCGAGGCGGCGGCGCCAAGTTCAATTTCCCCGATAACCCTCCGACGATATCCGGCGGAAGAAACCTGTCACGATCGGAGATCCGAGAAGCGGCTGCGAGGTTCGCTAATAGCTCGGAAGAAAACATCGTGAGTGAGAAGGAATCGATGGAGCAAGAGTCTCCTTCGACGTCGGTGGCGTCTTCGTCGATGATGATGACGATGGAGATTGATTCGGAGTTTTTGAGTATGCTTCCGAGTGTTGGTTCGGGTAATTTCGCATCGGATTTCGGGTTATTCCCCGGGTTTGATGATTTCTCCGACGAGTATTCCGGCGATCGTTTCAGTGAAGAGCTTTCACCTACACGGGGTTATTACGGGGAAGAGAATTTCGATGGATCGGTGTATCTTTGGAATTTTTGAATTTCATGATTCTCTCTCACGGAAAATCTGAGATTTTTGTTTTTTTTTCTTGGGAATGACGCTCTATCAAATTTGTTACACTTCGGATCCAGAATTTTAACTCGGATTCGTTTTTTATACTATAGCATGGTGTTCTTTTGTAATTTGTTCCCCATTTTTGTGTGGATCATTTCGATATTGATTCTTTTTATTTTTCCCCACCAAATCTTTGTTTGTTTGTTGATTTATAATTTATAATAATAATAAAAAAATTTGGATTTACACCATCACAAACACATGATGTATATTTCCGAATTCCGGTGGCTTGTATTGGACCGAATTTTTCATAGTTATACGACTCAACCCAAAAATAGTATTTCAGGCCCATTCCAACTAATAAGGCAACTACAATCAACCGATTTGCCAAGTACAAATCAATCTTAAACTTTGTTATTTATCAACATCAGCTCACAGAAAAAGAAAAAGAGATGGTGTAAAATCACAAATTTTTGTCTTGAAACTGTTGATTATAGATAGTCAATGTTTCAAGGTATGTAAAACCACAAATATTTGTTTTGGAACATAATAGTGATTAATTATCGATCTCATGGCTCGTTGACTCGAGTTCGTTCGAAGCTCATGGTATCCGTTGAACCGTTGAATCATGGAAAAGTCCACATTATAGCACTTCGGTGTGTTTTTACCGGAACCGACCAAATCAGATATAGTTTATCAAAAAAAAAAAGTGATTAATTATCTTGAATTTCTTCTTTGTCATTACACTTGGAGAAGAAATAGAAGAGATAAAAATTTAAACACTTTTGACATAATTTCCTTTAGCTATACGTTTTACTTAAAAATATAGATTAAGGCACTGAAAATCAAGAGCTAATCTAACGAACAAAATTGGAACATGATTCAATAGATAATCTAACATTCTTTTTTAACTATGAGATAATTTGTCTAAACCAAAATGATTGTTCTTAGCCACGCTTAAAATTTGTAAATAGGCTTATTTGATACGAAAAGAATATGAATATGTAAAATACGCAATGGGTCGTATCTCGTTAGTAAATCAACGATGTAGATGACAAAAATAGTTATTAATATAATCTGCAGTAATAAGAGTTTTATAAAGGGGTTAAACTATCCAAAAAAAAAAAAAGAGTTTTATAAGGGTACATAACGTAAAGAGCTTTTAATAGAAAAATGCGAATATCCGACCCGTAAAAAATGCGGATATCCGGTGGGGCTAACTCTGTAGGTTCTCCGTTTTATCTTCTTTCTATTGAGAGACTTTGATAATCAGCAAATTCTTATTATAAGGTTTCCTTCTTCGACTACTCTTCCTTCCTCCTCAAAAACAACTTCTAAATTATCGATTATGCTACTAAGCAATTCCCACATGGTTCTTCCGGGAAATCGATCAATTATTATTTCGCCGGGAAATTTCACGGCGAGTCCGAAAAGTCCGTTAGATATGAAATTTCCGTCGCCTGGTAGGTCGAAGAGGTACGATAACGGCGGGATTGGCTTAGGAATCGTTGCCGAACTCGAGAAATCCGGCATCTTCAGGATCAATCGGCACCAAATTTCGCCGAGACAAAACCTGGTTTGCTACTCTGAGTCCGGTTCGAATAGATTCAACTCTGTTCACTGTGCCCGGAGATTCCAATTCCCAGCGGAGATTGAGATTGATCTCTCCGAGGAATACACTTGCGTCACGAGTCGCGATGGCGTGACCAGAGTCTATTACAACGACGGCGAGTTTGAATTTTGTCAGAATCGATCGGACAGTGATCGTAGATGGGATAAATCGATGGATATCGCCGACAAATCACCGGCGAAGAAGAGGGAGGTATTAAGGGATACTCCATATTTCTTGAGTTTGTGTTGCTTGTGTAAGAAGAAACTTCAAGGCAAAGACATTTACATGTACAAGTAAGCGCCTCCAATATGCCTTTTTATACAAAAAAATCATGAAATTCTTTACATTATAAACTTCATTGAAAGCGAAACGTACATGATGCTTCTGAAGATTGATTAATTTTGTGTTTTTTTTCTTTGGTATTGAATGTGCAGAGGAGATAAAGGATTTTGCAGTGTAGAGTGTAGATCGGTAAATATATTGGAGGAAAATCTAAACGTACAACAAAAATCGGCAAGTGTTGAGTTTTTGAACTCTCCGTCCGCCGGACGAAAAAAAAATTCCGCCGGAATATTCGTAATATAGGAACTTACTAATTTTGAGATTTGATTGATTGGCTGATGCTACCTCAAAATTCTTATACTTCTTTCTTTGTCATAAAGACATATATCGTTATGAGTTTTGTATAACTAGACAACAAAAACCTCGATAGAAAAGACAAGAAATTTTCTAGTGTTAGCATAATAATCAGACAATCAGTAATAAAAAATAATAAAAGAATATTATTATGAGTTAATGGGACATGGTTTCGATTAATAAATCTTTTTCGGTTCAAATATGTGAAAGTAAAAAAAACTATTAAACCCAAAGTAAATTTTATTCTGATTCCTTTGGTGTTAGATTGATATTGGATCGGTTTAAATCTAAAACACTTTAAATACATCGATAAAGGGCATGTTGTTATATCAGACCAATGTGTTTTCAAAAGGATGGTTCGTTGTATTTTAAACAAATGAAAAGGAAACGATTATAAAGAATTTGTGGTAAGAAAACATATACGGGTGTCGCCGAGCTAGGAAGGAGTTTATATAATTCGGTATTGAATCCAGTGATTACATGTTGCTTGCTTGTGTAAGGAGAAACTTCCAGGTACATGTACAAGTAAGTTCCACCAATCGGGTGTATCAAACGAAAATTTGTCCTATAAAGTAAAATTCTCCGAAGTGATTTCCAAGAACCAAGACAATCTTGTACATAAATCCATTTGTTGTTGAATAGAAATCGAAATGATTAGAGAGATAGTGATGATAGAAGAAGATAGAGATCGTGATTTGGTGTTTATGTAAATGTAATTGTGTATTATCTATAGTCTCTACTTTCTTGAGGTTTGGTTGAGCCACGTTGTTTTTTTTAGCTGTTGTTACACCTACTAAGGACATCTCCAACCCTAAGACTTACTATAGGGTTCATGGGGAATATTTTGCAATTTTTTAAAGTTTGGTGTAAAATGAAGAACCTTACCATTTTAACTTATCCAACCCTGAACTTTTTTTTAGAGTTCATCATGATAAAAAACTAATATTTTTATTTGACTTTATATTTTCGAAATTTTTATTGAAATAAAATATTTAACATAACACATAATTAGCAAAGCATAACATAATATATAAAAAATACAAAAAATTAAAAATTTTAAAAACACATTACAAATTCAAACTTAGAAATCAGCAAAAGGCTAATTCTACTGTTTAGTTGATCCAAATGTATACCATAGATGTTCAACTAAATCAGATTTCAGTTGGTGATGGGTTCGGTTATCACGAACTTTATTACGAATGCCCATCATGTTGTGCAGATTTGTGAGTCTATCAGTTGAATAATCCATATCGACTTGTGAAGTTCTGCTTCCCTCACCTTGTTCAAACTCTGATAAATTATATTGAGTTTTGTCATCTCGCTCGTCTTCCACTATCATATTGTGTAATATGATACATGCCCTCATAATCTTTCCTATCTTTTTCTTATCCCAAATGAGAACCGGATTCTTGACAATGGCAAATCGTGCTTGCAAGACTCCAAACGCTCTTTCGACATCTTTCCGTACGGATTCTTGACATTTGGCGAAGAATGAATCTTTTTCATTTTGAGGTAGATGAATTGACTGGATAAAAGTAGCCCAATTCGGATAAATGCCGTCGGTGAGATAATATGCCAAACGATACTCGTGTCCGTTGACAGAAAACCTGACTCTTGGAGCTCGTCCTTGTAAAATGTCATCAAATACAGGTGAACGTTCAAGAACATTAATATCGTTCAAAGTACCTGGAGGTCCAAAAAAGGCATGCCAAAACCAAAGATCGTATGATGCCACCGCCTCTAAGACAATTGTTGGTTTTCCTGCACCCCGGGTATATTGCCCTTTCCAAGCAGTAGGGCAATTTTTCCACTCCCAATGCATGCAATCAATGCTCCCAATCATCCCTGGAAATCCACGTTCCTGTCCTACATCCAGTAAACGTTGAAGATCTTCTGGTGTCGGTCTTCTTAGGTATTCATCCCCGAACAATGAAACTATTCCCTCGGTGAAATTTTCCAAGCATGAAATTGCCGTACTTTCACCAAGCCGGAGGTACTCGTCAACTGCATCAGCCGCACTCCCGTATGCCATCATTCGAATTGCCGCCGTACATTTCTGTAATCCAGATAGACTAAGCCTTCCGATAGCATCTCTCCTTTGTTGGAAAAAAGGGAATTCCTGTGAGAGTCGTTCAACAATTCGCATGAACAAAGTTTTGTTCATTCTAAACCGACGGCGGAATAAATGATGGGGATATGTAGCATCTTCGCTGAAGTAGTCGTTCCACAAGCGGTTGTGGCCTTGTTCGCGGTGTCGTTCAATATAAGCTCTTTTCTTCTTCTTTGGTTTAGGTCTTGCTTGATCCTCAAGAAAAGAACTTAAAACGTTGTCGAAATGTTGATCACAAATTTCGTCAAATGTGTCATCACAAATATCATCAAAATGATCATCGCCAAAGTTGTTAGATGACGAGGCCATGTTCTCAGTTTTTGGGTTTAGTGTGAGATGAGAAGTTTGACAAAGGAAGAAAGTAAACGATGACTAGGTTTTTAGAACAAGAAAGGAGAGAGATGAGAAGTGTGAGATGGAAAGTTTGGTCAAAGGATGAAAATAAACGATGGAATTGGTTTTAGAGCAAGAAACGATGGGAAGTTTGGCAAAGGAAGATATACTGAAAGAGAGATGTAAAAGAAGAGACGACATGTAAAGGAACCAAAGCCAACAACAATACATATATAAAGGGAGAAGTACAATAAGTTTGTGGTGACCTACAATAATTTAGACACACTTCCACACAATGTCACATAAAGAAAAAACCAAAACCACAATGTGACGAGAATACAATCACGGGAAAACATTGGTGGTCACCTAAAGAAAAAACCAAAACTACTACTCAGTCAGGATAATACATTCACGGGAATGATTTTGTGGTGAGCAAAAGAAAAAACCAATAGTACTTGTCACGATCACTGGTCCAACTTGGCCCCTCCACAGTTTTCTCAGTCTTTGCACCTACATTAACAAACGCATATCGTTAAAACCATTTCAACAATAACATATCGTAATGGAAAACAAACATACAAAAGAGTTGAACAGTACATACCATAGACCAAAGAAACCACATTATGACAAAAGATCGGCAATGATTTTGTCCTTAAGAGCTAATTCAGTCTCAGTTAGTGGTTCGATTCTGGATAGGAGACACTGAAGCAGTTTTCGATTTGAAAGCTTCTCTCGGTAATCCATGTCCTGTTGTCTAAGCTCGAACATGGACTGTACCTGCAAGAGGCCTTTTCCCTTGTCTACATCATCCGGTTTTTGGCTATTACCTTTTTTATTTTTCGCAGCCTTGGCTGCCTTCACACCAACCGGACGACGAACTGGTGAGTCGTCTCCATGACCTTTTGATTGGCAAGTAGGGTTTTCAACTGATGAGTCTCCAAACTTTTTCCTTTTCTTCAACTCAGCATCCTTAATCGCCGATGCTGAACACCATTTCTGGTCGTGGCGTAGTTCCCTCCACGCGTGCTCAAGTCCGAATTTGAACTGGTGGTCATTAAAGAAGATTTGGTGAGCAGCTTTGACAACGTCATTTTCATTTTGTCCGCTCGACTGCTCTTTCAAAGCCGCCTCGTACGCCCCCACAAACTTACACACTTGGTCATTAAGCCTTCCCCATCTCTGCTTGCAATGACTGGCCTCCCTTGGTAGTCCCACCACTTGTGGACTTGCATTGAAATATGCTTGAATTCTTTTCCAAAATGCGCCTGCTTTCTGGTCATTGCCAACCACCGGATCTTTGCTGGTATTTAGCCATGCACTGATCAAGACAGTATCTTCAAGTGGTGTCCACTTCCGCCTAACACTTCGGTCCTCTTGCGTTAAAGTTGGATCTTCTTGGCTGCTAAACCGTGGCACTTCAGGAGACCTAAGATCTATGGTTTGCGAGTAACCGTAAGGGTTATCTTCTTGGCTAGTTAGGAGGTTCACAAAAGAGTGATTAACAAAACCATTTGTTGAATCCATTTGGGAGTTAGGGAACAAGTGTTTGAGATGTGTTTTACAAGGAGAAGAAGGTATCTGAGTTACTGAGGTGTGTTTAGAAATGAGCTTTCAACAGGTTTAAATGGAAGAAGAAAATGTTTAAAACGGTTAAGGCAATCAATGAAAGACAATTAATGTTTAACCTACTTTACCAAGCAACCTAAACCATCGTCATTAATAAGAAAACCAACTCCATACTCGTCATTACTAAGAAAACCACCTACTTAGCTAAAAGAGGGAAGAATAAGACTAACCTTTATTAACTGTCGCAAACCAGGACACTCAAAATGCTTCACTTCTAGTTGGAAACTCCTAACTTCATGGGTATTTCAGTTACATACTCCATTTGGCCTCGCAGAAATGAAATAAATGTTAGGAGAGACATAATAAACGGTAAGTGTATCAGAATCATTAATAACAAAGCGTGTAAAACGGAGTATAGAGTTGTTACTAATTCCGAGTATAGAGTTGATAGAATCGCACAAAACGATCAATAACAACAAGCGTGTAATGTATCGAACAAAAACCCTACAGCTTCTAAACAATCGAACAAAAAACCTCGATAACAAGCAAATCAAATCGATAACCCTAATTACGAGTATGTAAAAGATAGAATACCAAATCCGCATGGATAAGTTATCGCAAACAGACTCTAAATGTGTCACTAAACTCAATTTAGAATAAAACCCTCAACCAAAAATTTCCCCAAATCGAAAAACCCTAAGCAAAATTTACAACCATCCAAGCTTTTCAAGTCATTTGATTTCCAAAAAGAAGAGTCGAAGACATACCTTGACACAGTAGGAAGAGAAGCCCTCACAAATTCGCCGTTAAACTCTCCGATTAGCCATCGACGATTATCGCTGCAGAGAAGAAAGTTTCGCATGTTTTCATCGATGAGAGATGAAAATTTTCGAGACGAAGTGAGAGAAAAAAGTTTCCATAAAATTATCTCAACTCGCCAACAAATCAGCTGTCGACACGTGTGTTATGAACCCGCTCCTTCGGATCCTCTGCAGTGAACCGGTTCATCAAATTTTTCGTTTTAATCGATTAAAACATAATAAAAAAATCAGTCAACTTCCCTTATGAACCTTTGGCGAACTCCCGTTGGAGATGCCCTAAGTACTACTAACTCATAAGTCCTATGAACACATTGCTTGCAATTAACATGTGATTAAATAAAGTTTAGAGTAGTAGGTTAAAAAAGACTGTTGAACCATTTTTGTTTGTTCGAGGTTAAAGAGTACTACTTTGGAAAGAGATTAGGAAAGAGATTTAAATGATACAAGTATGGTCGTCAACAAAATTTGTTGGTTCTTACAAAATCAGTAACATACGAAACTAATTTCTGAGATAACCCAGAGACAGGGGATTTAGACAGACAATACCTAGGAAAAAAGAACAAACTTCACACAGACACTAACAAGAATTGATTGCTAATCATTAATCAAATACATACAAATATATCAAGTTTCCCTAAATAATTGAATAGTTGTAGAATCATATATAATTAAGAACCATGAACGCAGGAGCTTTTATATTAACTTGTTTATTGATTGATGCAACGTCAAAAGAATAGCCCGGTACGGTTTGTGGTGGTTTAGCTGATAATATCCTTCATGTTTCAGCTGCTAAACCGAGCCAAGAGGTATTGTTGTTGTCTCTGCTTTGAGGCTTTGAAGACGCTTTAGCTGGATCGCATAATTGGTATGGCGCCTTTGACGTAACTCTATCCTTTCTCTTCGCCAGGAACCGATGGAGTGAAGCTCTTCTAGCAATTGGAAGTTCTGTAAAACAAAAAGAGGAACATTAATCTGTTAGAAGCTGTGTGTTAAGAAAATACGGTTTAAATAGAAACAAAAAGAGGTTGAGAAAAATTACCGCATGCCATTGGAGTTGAGGAGGAATGGATTGGGTCTTGTGTTGCGGTTTTCTTGAGATGAGAAACGATGTTGCTTGTGATCTCGGATTGATTCTTGGCTAAGTGAGGAGTGTAAACACTTTGGTGGATGTTGTTGTTGTTGACATTAGATGTGAAACCAGTGAAGCTATGAGCGGTTCCTTTGCTCGCCAGGTTCATCACTTGTCTCGCTTTCTCAGCAGAAAAGTCATTGAACACAATCACTTGCCCGCCGTAGAATATAGTCAACGGTGCAGTTTGAGGCTCTGGTTTCACAGATCTGTTCAAGAATTGATCAACATAAAAATTAGTCAAGAAGATCAGAAACAAATCTTAGCTTTTTTAGGACATGAGATTCTTTTTTGTTAATAAACAACATACCTAGCAGTAGTAGTAGTAGTAGTAGTCGTCTGTGTAATTTTGAGGGCATCTTCCTTGGGGAGAGAGGAAGACGAGGAAGAAAAGCTTGACTGCCGAGGAAACAAATTCTTGGGCTTAACATCTTGATGAGCAGCCGCCATGGAATCCATGTTGGAAGCTTCACAAGGGAATAAACTCATGGTTGTTGTGGGCTGACGTGAGGTGCCAAAGTTTCCTGCAAATATGATCCAAAAAATTAAGATATCTCTCTCCCATAACATTTTTTTTTCTAATGACAAATTTAGCAAAGTTAAAACCTTTGTTTCTCTTTGAACCCATATATTGAAATTGCCCAATTTTGTTAAAAAAATTGAAATTTCCCAATTTAAAGAAAAGCTTTAGCTTTTGATTTCCAGATTAAAACGCTAAGAACCTAGATACGAAACCGGTTCCTCTGCCTTATTTCCAGTCAACAGGTTATCAATTGCTTCTATCTGATTTCAAGATTCTTGAAAGACTCATGAATCCAAACTCAGAGAAAACGAAGGAAAAAAAGAAACTGGATCTAGAACAAAAAGAGAAGGGTTCTTACCGTTGACCTCAGGCTTGCATGCCATTCCTAAACTCAGATCTCCAAAGCTACCGTTCTCTTTCAGATACTGACTCAATCGACTACAAGTCAGCGAGAAGCTCGGCTTCCCAGAAAATCTCCGACCAGCGGCGAAATCCGAACACTCCATAGAACTCGACATCATTAACAACAACAAAAAAGCTTGGAAGAAACGAATCAAACACACTCAGAATGAGAAAACGAGTTTCTCTAATAGCAGAAATCCAATCGTCTTCTTGAACTTGAGTTTTTATCTTTCTCTGAGAATCGGAGAATCGGAAACTGAGTTTTGAGTTTCTCTTCTTCTTGCTTTGTCTTGCAAATTGCGTTTTGTCACGAGGGAGAAATGGAAGGTCTCTTTAAAACTTTCTTCTTTTCCTTTGGTTGGTTGCAGAGTCCCTCCCTCCTACCTCCATTATCAAATATATATACTGTATATATATTTATTTAATTATCCCTATTTACTTTATCTAATTGTGCGCCCTTTAAAAACACGTGTTTTTCTTTATTACTAATAAAATAGGAGAATGTGTCTCGGTTCACTTTTGCTCCACGTTCAACGATTTCCGTTCCCTTAATTTTACAATTTTATCCCTCTTCACGATGATAAATTACTAGTATTACCTTTCTATTGGTTTGTTCGCAGGTATGACGAGAAGTCAAACCAAACACCAGAGACCAGACAATGTAAAGTATATTGCAGCTTGCAACTTGGCAACTTGCAAGTGAGAACAAAAAAAAAACAAAGAGGACTCTATAGTATAGTAAATTTTGTTTCCAAGAACCGTTTTTTGGTAATTAATGTTTTTAATTCAAGCCAATTGCATTATTTGTAATTTCTTCTGCAGATGGTGTATCGGAAAGTTCATTTGTTGCGGATTAGATAGTCTATTAGCGTATGTTTTAAGTCATTGTTATGAAATATTCTAACTTATGTATGGAGAACAAATCACTCCAAATTTGCAGTTGCAAAATCTTTATTTGCTTAATATGACATCCACTAAGTAAACATTTCGGAACAAACATTTGTTTAAACACTATATTTTTAGTAAACTATAAAAATATATATGCTTGGCCTATAATCTATTTACAATTAAAAGACAACATTTACACGTATTTAATATATAAATTAATTTGGTAGAACCATTCGAGAAAATTTATTATGGTTTTATGGTTAAAATATTTCCACTGTAAATTTAATCATGATTGATCATTTTGAAGATGGTAAAAAGACCGTCTTATATAAGAAGATTATACAGGTGTGTTTAACAACATTGTTAATGAAGTACTTATAATTACTGGCTATGGTTGATGCATGCATGTAAGTATAAATGTTAATTTTTGTGTTATTAATGTTGTGGTGAGCAAATTTTGGTATCTAATTCTAACAAGAAATCAACCAAACACGTCCAAAAAAAAACTTTTATCTAATATGGAAAAAGGAAGCTCATTAAAAAGAAAATAAACGAAAACGCGTTACAAGTCATCAGTCAAGCCTCAAATGGCATTTTGTTAATTCACAGTAAATTAGTATAATTATACTGGGGACATTTTTTATATAGTTATCATAAAGTTTACAAAACGCGTGATCCATGCAAAGATACAAGCTAATTAATGTTTGTATATAAAGAAAAAAGAAAAAATAATAACAACTAGAGTATGCGAGTCGTTGATTAGTAATTAAATGTGGCAGAAGCTAAAAATTGAAGTCAAAATCCAAGCCGACCGTCAATAGGGGTGGTCGCGGACCGGATATCCGGGATTTTGGAGATATCTGTGATTCATTCCGCTTCGGCCGGATAATCTTTTTTTATGATTCGTATCCGCTTCATAATTATCTGGATATTCGTTTTCCGGATATTCGCCAAAAATCTAAATATTTTCCAGATATCCGATCCGGCCCAAAAAATATTTAAATAATAATATATATAAAATAAAAAATAAAAAAATTCAAAATTTAATTAAAAATGATAATATTTTCTTTAAAAAAATATATTTTTTTAACTTATTAATTTTAATATTTATAATAATTAAATTTATAAACAAAAACTCATAAAAATTATATTTATATATAATAATTATACATTTTATATGAATTATTATCTATCTATATATACATATATATTTATATCGGAGCGGAGCGGATACCCGTCTTAATTTTTTTTAGTATTTGTGATTTGCTCCGTTTTTAACGGATATTAAATTTTAGTATTTGCTTTGCTCTATAAAATTACGGATATCCAGATTTTTTGGATCGAATCGAGATGAATAACGGATTGAAGCAAATATAACGGATATTTTGCCCAATTCTAACCGTCACAATTGATTAAGGCCATGAACAATATGATAATTTAATTGATTAATCAAAAGTTTTACACGTAACGAAGAACAAAATGATGGTTCATACACATAATGAAATGGTCATTTTATAAATAAGACCTACAACTAATAATATCAATATCCGGCAAATGCGACTAATCCCATATGTCAAGGGTACGATCGTCTGACTGATAAACGGGAACGGAGCAAACCTTCACGGCGTTAACAAACTGTGAGTGGGTGCCACCAATTGAAGACAGCTTCACCATCCACATGTTCCGTCGACCACGTTTTTGTTGTTATGCGTTCTAAAATAATACTCCAAAAAAATAGTAAAACAAAGTACAAAAAAATTGAAAAATCTAAAAGAAAAACAAAAAGCAAAAAAAAAAACTAGAAGAACAAAACAAGGAGGAAACCAGAAAGTAAGAGGCAGGCAAGTGCACGTTGTCTGCATCAATTTAAAATAACACGTGTCCAACTTTAGTTAGTTTAAAACTACGCGGGGGAGATTCTTATATTCTCGACAAAACAGTGGATAGGAGCTGTGTTATGCTGCTACGCAACCCATAGAAATCCCAAAAGCATTCCAATGCAACGACAAAAAGTTAATATATAATCCAGTGCTTAATAAATAGCTAGACGGTAGGCGGGCGGACGAGCTCCGACTAACGCCTAAATTAAAAGTCAGTGATTAATCGCTGATTAATAGATAATTAATTTTTTAATTAATTTATTTTATATTTAATTTTTAATTAATTATATTAGTTTTTTTAGATTATTTTGGAGCTTGAACTTACTTAGGCTGATTTTGGGCCGATTTCAGAAAATATGAAATTTTTATTAATAAAGTTGGACTAATTTTAAATTTTAAAAAAATTTTAAATTAATTTTAAAAATTTTTAAATGAATTTTAAAAATTAAACAATAATTTTGTTTTTAATGAGTTTTTAGACAGTTTTATGCGATTTAAGATGATTTTAAGCGGTTTTAAACGGTGAAAAATCAGAAAATTACCTAGAAACGCTGTCTAGCACTTAGTCGGGGCGGTTAGCTATCGCTTAGCGCCTAGGCGGCCGACTAAGCGACTAGACGGCTGACTTTTTGAACAAGGACTAAGACTAAGAAAAAATCCAAATGGAACGAGTCTTTCTTTTACATATTTGATGGAAACTTTATCACAAGAGGATTAGATATATAAATCGAGATATATTTTTGACTGATAAAAAAAGATAAAATTCGAGTGAATTTGAGTTTATTGGTTAGAAGTTGTAAGATATGAAACGTGGGCTATATATGGAGCATATAGTAAAAACTATTAAAGTACATAGGATCAGATTAAACGAAAAAGATCGGTCAAACTCGTGGGAAATGCGTGTAGTGGTTAGGGGAAGGAATACAGATCCGCGGGAGGCAAGTTGAGTAACGTGTCCAATTTTATTTGTTTTTTTCTTCTTCTTTAATAATGCATGCACCATTTGAGTTTACCATTAATTTATTTGTATTATATCATATTTTTGTAGTCCTTGTTTTATCAGAAATTTAATGTCTAATACTATATTACTATTATTCAGATGCAAGCCTTTCTTTTTGTTTAGGAGTTTATTTTTTTTAAGGGGAATACTTTTTTTTCAAAATAATCACCTATATGGTTGACTTTGCTAATGGTAGGTTAGTTCAGACGTAGCCACGTTTGTATATGCTTTTAAAATACTGATGTACCATTCAATGATATAACGGATACAAGTTTTGAAAAAAGTATAAAAAAATAATACGCACATGAAGTTTCTGGAAATTATAAAACAATTGTTGGGCAGTTTCGTTTTGTTGCATGTAAAGGTACGCATGCCGCTAGTTAGACTTTCAAGGGAAAATAAGTATTATAATAATAATCTAAATACAAAGAACATAAATAGTTAAATACAGTTGAAGAGGCGCCACATGGGTAGTGGTGGTGACCATTATTGGAGTCGTCGGTGTTTTGCAGAATACACAATATAATATACATATGTTAGAAAAACCGTGCTAATTAACTTTAGTAGTGGAACATGCTTCTCGTGACATTAAATTAAGATTTTTTATTATATAAACTAGATATTTTTTGTGGTACTTTTATTTTATTTTATTCTCGACCTTGGTGTTGTTGAGCTTCGTGCTAGGTTACAATTCGAGCTCGGTCCAATAAAAATTCTACCTCTCAACAGTAAACGTCAACATTTATAAGTTTTAAAGTCTTGTATTCATCCATTCTATCAAACTTGTATACTCTAATTCGATCAAAGCAATATCGTTCTGAACTTCTGATCTATTATTCGTCAAGGACGATCCGATCGAAAATCAAGTTGTATTGATGATTAGTTGGACCTATTTTGTAACAAAATGGTTGGTAGCGAACAATTCCTCGCATCAACAGTACTTGTGATCCACTTCTCTAGCCCAAATACATGATCGATGTATATAATTAGCTCTGTGGAAACGTTGATACAAGAATACAACCATACTTTCTAAAAAAACTTATCAAATTTATAATAAATATTGGTAGAATAACATTTACAAATATATTTGATAATTTCTTCATTTTCTTCCGACCATTGTTTCTTCCATCATAAATCATTGTCTTATCATACTGGAAAAGAACCCCTCCATTAGGTTTTTATATATCATTTTCTAACTAAAATTACAAACTATATTTATCAGAATGAGGAAAATCCAACAGCGAAATTAAAGAAACAAATGATTTCCATTTTTGTCCCAAAATTGACGCCTATGTACAGAAAGAGTTTAAAAAAAAAAAACCATTTAAATGTCGTAATCGATGTCCGTCACATTGGACTCAGCGGCAGGCTTAACAAGGCGACCTTCCTCGTCGTAAACATCAAAGTTCTCGCATGGCCGAGGGAAAATCGACCCAAAGACTCGTCCTTTCACGTACGAACACTGAAATATATGTTTCTTCTTGTACGTTAACCCAACGGACATGTCCCGAAACGTCACATTCCTCACCGGAATCTGTTCGCTCCCATGGATTCGGACAGGCACTCGCACTCCTTGTCCGCGGATTCCCGTAAAACTGAATCCCGAAAGTGTCGGAAAGGCTTTCCGGTCGAAGTTATCGTCCGCGTGCTCGTTGTAGTCCGTCTTGATCACGATCCCAACCCGAACGTTGTCCAGTGTCAGGTTTTTGTAGGTTATGTTTCTGATGTAACCGCCTCGTCCCGGAGCCGTTTTGATCCTGACTCCTCGACGTGAGTTCCAGATAACAAGGTTCTCGATCGTCACGTTCGATATCCCACCAGACATTTCACTTCCGATTGATACACCAGCACTGTCGAAACATAAATAGAAACGTATTAACCCAACACAATCACGATTTACCTATGAAAGTGTCAGTTATATTTGGATATTTCCTAAAAACACGTAGAAAGGTTTCCTTTTCTGTATAAAAAATGAAAGCTTTTTCCTTTTTTTTTTTGCAGTGAAACGTGAGAAATGAGAAAACTCTTTACCTGATAATAGAGCGAACGACGAGATTACGGATAAGAATGTTAGTCGAAGGTCGTCCATAAGCAATCCCAAACTGATCCCACCCACTCTTTATCGCGATTGCATCATCCCCCGTGCTAATGTAACAGTCCTCAATTACCATATCCTCACAGGAATCTGTGTAAGGGAAGAAACACGGTGCCAAAAGGGTTTAAATTTGCCGAGCACAAAATAACTCGAAGAAGAGATACTAAGAAAGTCAAATGAACATACCGGGATCAATTCCATCGGTGTTTGGTGCTCCGGTTACCGGAGCTAAGATGGTGACGTTTCTTATTGTTATGTTTTTGCAGTCGTATGGATGAAGAGTCCAAAACGGTGAGTCACGTAGTGTTATGTTAGCGATAACTATGTCACTCGACCACATTATTTGAACTAAAGGTCCCCTCGTGTTGTTGAGAAGCCTTCTTTGATGCTTCTTCCACCACGATTGTCCTTGTCCGTTTATTGTTCCGTTATGACCTGTTCGTTATATCCATTCATCACTAACCGATCATCATATTTCACAAACATGAATTTGAAAAAGAAGGGAATCACTAACCGGTTATCACGATGTCTTTGAGGTTTTGACCATGGATTAAGCTCCCATAACGAGGTCCTGGGCGCTCTCTACCGTAACCATATGAAGGCAATGGTGGCATCAAAGGCCAATACTTTTCATCCTGAGAATTAAAGTGACAAATCACGCAATGTCTTAATAGGTAAAAGCCTCGAGCTACATTTACTCGCGCAACTTCTCGTATTTTCTCATTGAGCAACCTCTGTTTATAAACCTTTCCTCTAGGATCCAATTTCGATTACCCTCTAGTATTTTAAACCTAAGATAAACTCATTTGCATACCATATAGAGCATGTGTTATTCTCTAGTTTAGTTACGTAATTCTCCTAAATTATGTTCCTCCATTCAATAGAATCAAGCAAACACAGTCAATGTACTCTGATTTGGTTTGGAGTGACACTGTCAGTAACATCCAAAATCTCATGATCTAAGCTTAGTGGTAGCTGAGATTTTGACCTAAACAGAGCTTAAAGCGTCTGTAACAGTCACCAAACAATCTGACGAAAAATGATATATGTAATCAATTCTGCTGTTTGTTTCCGGAAATGAAGGCAATACAAGAGAAATCAAATGCTTCACTAACCTCAACTCCCAGAATTTCGGAATCCTCAGCGAGAAAAAGAGTCATATGGCTGGTGAGATTAAACGGCGCCGTGAGCCACCGTCCAGGCGGCACATTCAGCTGTCCTCCGCCGCTGTTTCTCCCAAGCTTCGAGATCGACATCATCGCTCTCTCGAAGGCCTCCGTGTTAAGCGTAAACCCATCGCCTACACCACCGAAATCCTTCAAATCGAAGACCACTGGTCTTAGGCGAGGCAGTGGCTTGGTCGGTTTGATCCGGCCGAAAATCGTGAACTTCCCTCCTCCGACGGGACCAACGACGGAGCCGCCGATGTAGGCTGTTCGCTGCCATAAGAAGAGGGAACAGAATGCGGCGATCCAGAGAAATGTGAAGAGTAGTGTCTTATGGGAAGCAAGGAGGGAAGTAAAGCGACGCTTAGGGTCAAGTCTCTGAAGATGAAATTGAAATCGAGTCGGAAGCAAATTCTCCACCATGATTCGATTTTCCGGGAAATAGAAACATGAGGTGGGGTTATGGTGGGTTATGGTGGGTTTTCCTCAGATCTAGCCGAGAAATTGTGAAATAAACGCAAGGTCCGTGACGGAAGATTGTGAGTTGATTAGTCTGTGTCAGAAGCTGGTGAGTTTGGTGTGAGTGTGATGATTCGATGGAGTTCCCGTAAAGGGGAAATTGCCGAAACTCGATAGAAACTAAACCGGTGAAATTAAGCTTACCGGTTAGTTTGGTTCAGGTTTGTATTGGTGGTGGGAGGGAATAATTTCTTTTACATTAACCAAGTAACCAACTCTCAGCTTCGTATAGTTTTCATAAATCCGAAACTAGCATTTCTTAACGCATTTAACAATCGACCATGAAAACGTGTGTTATGAATCTCATACTGGAAAATTTACAATCAATTCATCTTCAAATTATGGATTGCATAATATAACGTAATAATGAAAAGTGATACTATATACAAAAGTTCTACATCGATGATAGCCATAACAATTTTATATCCGCCGCATAATAATCCACATCAATGTGATGTAAATGCCTGCAAAAAGAAAGTAGCAATGAAAGCCGATCAATACACATATTGTCATCATCATCAAAATCATCAAGATTATTAGCTTACCGAGAAGACGTTGCAGTGACCAGGATCAGCGAGATGAGCCATGAGATTCTCGATTGGATCTTGACTAGTACTGTATCTAGCTTGGAAGCAGAACCCAACGAAGGCAAGCATCGCCAGCCGTCCGTTTTTAATCTCTTTAGTCCTCAAGACCATCACCGGTTCAGGAGATCCTCTGCCCCACATCATCGGATCGAACCATAAACCTCCCGGGTAACCAACATCTGGTTTAGGATTCACCTTGTGCGGATACTTGGGCTCTATGTCCACAGATCCCGGTTTAATCAAATCAGCCCATCTTCTACCTTCAGCCCACCCCATTAACACTAATTGGGCCAGAAACAGCGTAGTGGAGTCCGCGAAATACTCACGAGACCCTGCGTCGTACCATGAGTAATTCTCGATGAAACCTAACCGCTCTAGACATTCCGGTATTAAGATTCCGGTTACGGCCAGCATGGCCCACCGGCTATGTACGAGCTCAGCTTGTGCAAACCATTTGAGGAGGTCCGGGTCCGACCCTGTGATAACAAAACCGGTTTACTTTAAGATTTGGCTTATCATATAAACCGGATTGGGTTTGGCATGTTTTTGTACCTAAACCGAGTGGATCGAAACCGAAATCACCAGGAAGGCTGCAAGACGAGTTTATTTCAAGTCAAAAGGAAAGTTCCTTTGAGAAAAAAAAAAGAGCTAGGAAGTGAAAGAAGAAGGGTTATTTACGAACCTGCCATCGAGCCATTCAGGTGGAGAGCTACCGGGGAACCACAGAGGACGGTCCGGAGGAAGTGGTTCACAGACGCTAGAAACTTCTTTGCCCGCACGAACCACCACAACGCGCTCGGTTCTCCTTCCCCCGGCGCGTGACCAGAACGATGCTCGTCCTCTTTCCACTCTGCTAGTGGATAAAGCGAGTGTGGAAGTGAGAGCAGAAGCAATGGCAAGAGCCATTTTTGTAAATTTTCTTGTGGCTCTTTTTTTCTTGTTGTTGCTGTGATTGTATATGATGGACTCGTTATGTTATGGGCTTTGTTATCCAGAGGAATTTGTGAAGCCAGTGTTACGTGACACGTGTACGGTTCGATGTGAAGGATAGATCTTGGATTAACATATTTACTGAATTTGTAAGGTTGAACTAGAAAAATTACTATGAACTTAAAATGCCTAAAATGATAAGGGACATATTTACTGAATTTGTAAGGTTGAACTAGAAAAATTACTATGAACTTAAAATGCCTAAAATGATACAAAATGTATAATTATTTCAGTATTCAACTGCTTTTTGCTAGACCCATAACAATTAACATTAACATGCTGATTCTGAATTCTCCAATGGGGTTATTTAGCATAATTTTCCTTAAGGTTACTCCATTTAAGCTAATGATCATAAACAGTTGGGAAAAAAGCAAAGTAATTAAAATTAATAAATCCCCCAATTTGATTTGTTCATCATCAATCACAAGAGCAATAAGCGGGGTCGGTTACGAGGAGAATCAAAAGAAGCTCTTTAATTTTCTCGTGGCAACGATCTCATCTACGTGTCAAAATCTCACTCCCTCACTCCGGCGACAATGTACCGAGCGGCGGCGAAGCGTCTTCTCGGCGGTGGTTTTACAGCCAACCGCGTCCTCCCCAAGCTCAGGTCCACCATCAACCCGTCCTCTTATACTTCCCGTCTCTGCACGTCGTCGATGGGTAATACTGAATCGACGGTGGGTAATCAGTCTGTAAACCCTAATCAATCGGATCACACGGCGTCTTCTTCTTCTTCCACGGCTACAGGGGAAGGACCTCGTCGACATGAGAGCAGAAAACCGAGAGCCGAGTTTCAGGAAGAGCAGGCTCGTGTTCTCTCTGCTTCTCTCCGTCACGTGGTGGGTATATTGTTTTCCAGATTCATCTTTTGCTCCCACTCAAGTTTCCATCTTTTAGGCGATTGATTTCTTTATTTGGGAGTTTCTGCAGCCGAGATTAGGTTGGACAGAGGAAGCGATGATGGCTGGTTCAAGAGATGTTGGTGTGTCTCCTTCGATTGTAGGGTCTTTCTCCAGGAAAGAAGCTGCACTTGTTGAGGTAATGGCCTACTCTCTGGAGTTTTAGTAACATTCTGTGGGTTTTGTTTGGAACTTTGGCTTTTTGGTGGTTCTCTTGTTGACTTTCGTTTTTATTCTACTCTTGTTTCAGTTCTTCATGGATGAATGCCTGCAATTGCTTATGGATAGAGTAGACTCTGGATTGGATTTGGAAAACCTGATCCCTAGTGAACGTATCTCCAAGCTCATCAGAATTCGCCTAGAAATGCAGGTCCCTTACATGTCAAAATGGCCTCAAGCTCTCAGCATCCAAGTAAGTTTTGGGCTTTCCTCTGTTTCATGATTATGTCAAGCCGAGTCCTGTTTTTGAACACATCTCCTTTGGGCCAAACAGGCGCATCCTGTAAACGTCCCAACCAGTTTTAAGCAACGGGCAATGCTAGTTGATGAGATATGGCATGCTGTTGGAGATGGAACCTCGGATTTAGATTGGTATGTCAAGCGCACCATTCTTGGAGGAGTTTACTCAACCACCGAGATTTACATGCTTACCGATGACTCCCCAGGTCTTCAAAATCCTCTTTTCTTGGATACATTGTTATGTGGATGAAGAGGAGTTTAAAGTTTGCTAATCATTTCATTTTGATCAGAGTATCGAGATACATGGGCATTCTTGGATGACAGAGTTAAAGATGCTTTTGATCTGAAGAAAAGTATACAAGAGGTACGTAAAACCTTACTCGCTATGCGTCATTCTTGTTGCTACAAAACTGGAATGAAAGCTTCATTCACGTATTGTTGCAGGCCAAGTATTTTGCAGAAGACATCGGAGCGGGAGTTGGGAAATCGGTTCAAGGACTGATGAATGGAGTTATGCAGACGATGTCCAGAAGGGGTGGTAGCTCTGCGTTTTGAAAGATGACACCTTTATACAATGAAACTTTTTCATACTTTAAGATTCTCCAATATTTTGAGTTGAGATATGCTATAATAATATGTATGACTTGAAAGTGTATAAACATTTTGTTTGTCTTCTACTTTTGAATAAAACCATCGAGTTTGGAACGTTGATGAAAGTTGTGATGTGCTAAGTTTGTCTTTGAGTGAACAGTAAAGAAAGTTGTAATCTTGGTTCAGTTCAATTAGACAGTTTATTTGGGAAGGATGTTTATCGTTCGAACACATACATATGGGGTTTTATTGTAATTAATAAAAATTGAGGTTAGGTGGATAGACAGCTTCTTAGTTTTCTACTTTGACCCCGAAAGCTTTTAGAAAAGTCAATTTTGGATAAAGAAAAGAAGATAGATTGTTATAAATTGATAGAACCCCAAAATGGATGAAACCTGGACGTAAGATAGCCGAATTAGGATTTGATTTGGAATCTAAACAACGGTTGAGACTTGAGAGAGATCAGTGAGTGAGTGATTGAGTATCGTCAAAGATGGTGAAGACTTCAGAAATCGTCGGAAAGCTTAATCTCAGGTCTCACCAAGAAGGTGGTTTTTTCGCCGAAACCTTCAGAGATTCTTCTGTTCTCCTCTCCACCTCTCAGCTCCCACCCACCTGTAACTCTCTCTCTCTCTCTCTCTCTCTCTCTCACTCGTGTTTATTTTGCAACCATTGCTCCGATTGATTTGATCCATTAAATCCATTACTCATCGCTTCCAACATTGACCATTTGTGTCCTTCCTGTTCTGATAGAAAAATAATATGCTTGATTTGTGAATTTGTTTGGCTCCAGAGGCTTGTTTTGATTTTTCAGGATTCCAGGAAAATCAGACATACCTAAACTGTTCATTCAGCAACATTTTCATTTCCAAATTCCTTGTTGGGTTTATTGCAGATTATCTTGCAAGTTTGATGCTTTTTGTTTGTCTGTCTGAATCTGTGCAGTCAAGGTGGACAGAGCAGTGAGCACAAGTATCTACTTCTTGCTTCCATCTGGGAGCGTTTCTCGCCTCCATCGCATACCAATGGCTGAAACCTGGCACTTCTATTTGGGTGAACCCATTACTGTAAGTTGAATCTCTTCCCACTAACAGTGAAGAAGACCACTTTTATGGTTTGGTTGGAATCTCTGTTCATGAATATGCCTCTCTCTCTCCTTGTTGTCTTGATCAGGTAGTGGAGCTCTACGATGATGGGAAGTTGAAATTCACATGTCTTGGTCCTGACCTGATTGAAGGTGACCAGAAGCCTCAGTACACGGTCCCTCCAAACATCTGGTTTGGTTCCTTTCCAACAAAGGATGCTCATATCTCTCACGATGGGACTCTGCTTAAAGCCGAGCCTAGAGACTCCGAGAACCATTTCTCTCTCGTCGGCTGCACCTGCGCTCCCGCTTTCCAGTTTGAGGACTTTGAGCTCGCGAGACGCTCTGACCTCTTATCGCGGTTTCCTCAACACGAGTCGCTCATCACAATGCTCTCTTACCCGGAGTGAAAGGACCCTTAGAGGAGATTGCCTTAATGGCTCAATGGTTTGGTTACCGCTAAAAGAAGATACTATGTCGTTTTGTTACTTCAACTCCTTACATGTGAACCATACGAGGTTGTAGTTCTACAATAATTTCACTTTTGATCTCTCTTACCTTTGGTTTTTCTGAATTGTGTAATTGATCGAATTTATGTTCAATAAAGAGAAAGACTCAAATTTGTAAACAGATTTCATTCCAAAAACAGAGCAGAGGGTCTACAGAATTCTAAAGTTATAGACTTGAGAAGATTCATCAGTGTCATTTGCACACACATACACGCTATAACTAACATAATGACTAATAAATTCAGAAACTTATGTATGCTCCATCTTCAGGTTTTCTAGTTTCTACCATGCAGCAAGACATAGGTAAAATGCCTTCTAATCGAGATCAAGGAACTCCATTCTTTTCCGCATCGTACCCTTTAAAAGCATTTCTTCCTTCTCTGCTTTCTGAGCCTGGTTACACAGAAGAGTGTATTTGAGGAGTCAATAGAATCCAAATTCACAAAACAAAAACAAAGCAAATCCACCGGAAGATCGAATTGTGAAAGAAGCTCCCCCAATTAAACGAAATTTGAAGCGACAGCAACAACAAATGAAGGGAAGTAAAGATATATTGCACTAACCCTTTTGATCTCTGCCTCTGAAACTTGAACCATTTGGGCAGGAAGCTCTTCCTTTTCAACGTCCTAAGAGCAACGAAAAAAAAATCGTTTTAAAACTGGAAACTTGATATGATCAGATGCAAGAGGAATCGGTTTCTTTAGTTTTGGCTTACAAGTTCACCAATCAAGACAACATTCTCTCCACGGATTATGTATAGACCCAAGGGAATATCACAGTAGAGATCACCCACGATGACTCTTTCATAAGCTTCTTCTAAGACAGCATTAGCTTCAAGAAAAAAAAAAAAGATAAACAAACAAAACACTTGAGAGAAGTCGCTTCTGAGATTCTGGATTTTCAGTAAAGAAAGGGAAAGAACACAAGAAGTACCGAATTGATCAAAGGAACGAAGTAGACCCATCAGCTTCCGACCATCACGAAGCAAGACAAGAAGTTTCTCTGCAGAAGACACAACAAAACATTTAGGAGATTGTTGAATCATGTAGAAGGTCTTCATCAACCATTGGGATCAAAATCAGGATCTTTCTTTGTTTTCTAGATTCCATCGACGGCGAATCAGTAAAGAGAGAAAGAGAAAGAGAGAGTTACTGTCTAAGTATGCGGCAAGAGAAGTGGAGAAGAAGATATCATCAGGAGCAGCCCAAGACATTGGAACTCTGCAACTCACTCTTCAATCGCATTTACCTTTTTGACTTCTCAGTTTCCCAGTTTCACGATTCCCGATCTCCACTTTTCTTCCTCTTGATAATTAACCACAAGGAACGGTGGAAAAGCCCTAACTTTCACCGAGATAACAGAGAGAGAGACAGAGAGATTAAGAGATCTATGAGTCGTTTTCCTTAAGATTGACGACAACTCAGGACGGTTCTGTTCTGTCAAGTTTGCTCAGACGAGATCCAACCCAAAATGAGTTTAGCTCTTTAGGCAAAATTTTTGAAAAAGGTCCAAAACTCCGTATATATTACCAAATCAACCCATTTTTATCATTTGGGTTCATTTTGTTTGATTTGATCTAATAAGCTCCCATTTCAATTTCATGAACAGAATATTTTATACATAAATTTATAATTACACTAAACTCAAGTCTTAAAACCACAGTCAGTCATTCTTCAATTATTATGAACTGAATATTTGTAGTTACAAGTTACAACAACAGTACACACAAGAGCAAACAGATTTCTTCGCCACATTAAAATCTGAAAAAAATTATATAATGAAAGATGAGGAACAACAAAAACGGAAATGTGGAATTTGACAATCAAATGTACATCTGTAGACTGTAACATGACCCATCTTCATGTTATTCTTCATATCTTGAACAGTTGAACTTTCTTTTCCAAGAGTTAAACTTACACCACTCATTTGATACCTGAAACATAGAGTTTTTGGTTATTTTATTATTCAAATTATTAGTCATGTTTTGCTAATTTACATATTTTATAAAAATATAATTACTAAACTTTTTTGTTTGTTTATCTGTTTCCTTTCTATGAATTACCATGACAATCAATCAGGTCCATTTAGCTTATTGGTTGATATCTACATCTCCAAGACAATATCTGTAATCATAAAAGAAATTGAATTAAGCTTCCCTATACATTCTTGTTCTACATCTTTCTATTAATTATTAATCTATTTTTAAATTCTTACACTTTTCATCTTTCTGCATTTTAATTTGTCCTTATGGTGTATCTACTACATGCTTTTGATTTAACATAATACAGCATAGAACCAACCATATAACAATTTGGTTAATTTCATTATACTATGTATATATATTATGAGAAAATCTTTTAAATGTTTACGACCTGAAGAAAAATAATATTTAGTAAATCTCACATTCAGAATCAGTCTTAACCCATTTGTTCGCGTCAACACTTGAACGAGGTTCATCTATAATCTTATGATTCTCCAAATACTTCTTTGCAATAGCATTTGAACGTTGTGGATGTATCTTCTTGTTGAGTATTGTCCTAAGCATCTGCACACAACACACACAATATAAAGAATGTTTATAGTTTACATAAATATCATTGAATTCACTCGTTTTTATAATAAAAAAAAAAGTTGTTGTAGAGAATGAATAAGTTGATCATATATGTATAGATAAAAGGTACCTTTTCCATTCGTGTATTGGGCAATGAATCTCCTCTAGACAAATCAAGAAGAGGAGGTGGAGTTTTGAAGCCACTTGTGCAAACAAACATCTTCTTGAGAAGAAAAGAGAGCGATTTCTTCTTCCCAATAGTAACATCTGTATTAATAGCAGTGAGATCTTTGCTAGAATGTGCTTCTTCTTCTTCTTCCTTAGAGCAGATATTGTTTCCAAGTGTTCCAATTGCTAAGAAGGTTGCTTCGTCCTGTGGCCAACTTTGGAGGTCTTTACTCAAATCAGGGCCTGATGATTCTTGAGCTATATATAGATTATCAAACAGATCAATGATTTATGCAAAGACGTTTAATGTATTAGTCTTCTTAGTATAAGGATATTTACTCACAAGAATCTGAAGTTGACTCATGCTTTTTTCCATTAAACTTTCTTTGAACCCAACTAAAAAACTGTATCCAACAAAATCAAAATCTTACATGATCAACACAACAAAAAGAGTAAGTTAATTCAGACAAATAATGAAAACAAACCTTCATATTTCAAGAGACATATATTAATAAGTACATGTATGTGTGTGTATCCAAGAAATTTTCTTTTTCTGTCGATGATCTTTTATCTCCTTGAATAGCTTTAGGAGATAAAGATGATCATAGTGGTCCCATGTTTTTAAAGACACAGTAAACACAAATCCCTGACGCCAGCAATAAGCCAGCAGGTCAAAAATTGGGCTCAAGTTCCTATAATCCCTCGAAATCTTCAAGTCACCATTTATCTAACACTCGATCCCATCTTTGTGGACTTTGTTGAATATCGGTTCAACAAAATCGCATTCTTTATATAAAAAAATATGGTTTAAGAGATCGAAATCGAGTAAATTGTGAAGGATACACATGGATTTGTCTGTTCTTTACACTTTCTCCTCTGAAGCAGCTATACAACAACAAAAAAAACACACCTTTTATATCTGACCCGGCCGTACAAAAATTACATGCAGTGTAAGGTAAATGTACAGACTTCCTTTGAAGCTTATTCAAGCTTTACACTCGAATTCCAAATCATTTTTTTAAATAACTAGTCGTCTCCACAGGTACAGCAAACATTTGTGCAACATTCAAAGCAGGCGATGCAAGCAAGCGCTGTGAAGAGCTGTGTGAAGACAAGGACACATTGATCATTGAGCTTCGTGCAGCATTGCACACAACACATGCAGCAACATTTGTTGCACAAGGAGACACAACAGCTCGAGGCAGCCTTCACGAACTTCTCTGCAGCATCAGGTGCTCTCTGTTCTCCAAATCCTGGTGGAACATTCTCTGTGGTGGCTGTTCTATCACCAAAGCCTATCCCGAGGTTTTGTAGTGGGATCGTTCTTGATATCATCTTCTGTTTCTCGCCGTTGCTGGCTGTCTGTTTAAGTATTTGATGAACATATGAGTTAAAAAGAGTCTGATTTTGTCCTCTGAACAGAACAAATCACTAGGTTTTGGTTGAATGTTGCGATTAAAGTTCATAACTTATAGACACGGATAAATACCTTTTTCTTTCCGCCAGTGTCGCTGGGTTTCAATGCTTCTTCTGTGTGCTCCAATTGGATCATTCGAGTATACTCAGATGGTACACCGGTTTGGATGCTTAGTTTAGCAATCTGAGAGACAAATAAATAAAGCAGAATGAAGAAGATAATCCTGAAGAGGAAATAATTGAATTTGTACACGAACCTTCTCTTTTAACTGTTTGTCTTCAGAGAACCATGCCTCAGCAGTAAGCAAGTCAATCACATTCTTTGCAAATACCTAAAATTATTTAGGGAATGTCAATTTGTGTTAAACCGGGATGTCTTAAGAAGAGGGAATGATAATGAGAAAGAAGGTGAACTTACTTTATCAAGAGGCATGTCTTTTGCACTTTGTACCGTCAAGTCTGCAGAAAAGCTGCTCAAATCTCCTAGCAGACCATTGGCTTTAACATTCTCAGGGAACTTTCCTCGGTATCTTCCATATATCATCAATGGACTTGCAGACGTCAGATCCGGAATATTTGAAGGGTATACCTAAAAGTAGTTACAGGTAACACTTTCAGCTTCAGGCATCAACTTCATATAGTCAAACAAAAAAGATTTGCCAGAAAAGATAAGCACGCAATCTTAGCATAGAGGCACACCTCAACTTCATCAAGATTCTGCAGGGGCTCGATTGTTATATTCACAAGAACAGTGGATAAAGCCCTTGTAAACAATTTGTCCATTCGTTCCTCGATGTGATCTGTACATGAGGTGAGGATAAATGAAAACTGTTTAAGAAACCATATCACATATTGTGTAATTTTTTCCTCTAATTCAACAAACGGAGTCAAAATTTTACCTGTATTATAAACTGATTCGTGCTGGCCCCTGGATAGATTCGCAAGCATTTGCAGGAAGTAGTGATTACAAAATACACCTGAAATATTGCAGAGAGTCTATATATGAAAAGGTAAATAAAGAAAAAATAATCCTGGTCATTTCACATTAAAACTTGGAGAAAAATTTACCTAACCCAAAAGTGTGTATCCGTGGACACACTGATCCAGCACTAGCAAGACGTTTCTTCATTACATCGCAAATGTGTCTCTCATCTTCAACAGACCCATCTGTTACGAAGAAGATCATAGGAATGGAGCCACGAGTATTCGAAAGCATTTCCACAGCCTGAAAGTATTCATAGAAGTTGGCCAAATTAATGCCAGGACTCGATCTGAGGGGCTATAGTTACCAAAGTATTAAGCTTTTTAAGCTACAAGTGTGTGGCAGAAAGACCTTCTCTAGAGGAGGGAGCATGTTTGTACCATCGGCGACAACAAAGTTCTTGTTCATCCACTCAATTCCTCTTTCAACAGCATCTGGAGTAACCAACTCCATTGATGTCGAAAACAGAGAAGTGTCATCACTGAAAGTGATAATGTTGAAGGAATCTCCAGGATTAAGCTTAGATAGAGCGGTCGATATCGCATTATGTACATCCTCGAGAGGTTTTCCGGTCATGCTTTTACTTGTATCAACAACAAACATTACCTCCCGCTTGAATGCCTGAAGTAGACCCAAAAAAAAAAAAACTTAAAGATTGTACTGAAAATGGCATTTATTGCATCAAAGAAGAAAATGTACAAAATCAAACCTTGGTTCTTTGCTGCTTTCCAGGAAAAAGATAGAAAGAAAATATATCTCTCTGATCAACGTCGTGAACAGGCGCAGATTGAAGGAAAAGTCCACCAACTATATGACTTGAAGAAGCCTATGAAAAATAAAAATAAAGAGATAAGCAATCTTTAGTACCAAGTGAAGAGTAGGGCCTATTCGGCGTTGAAGCACAAACTGAGATTCAAGTCACCAGCGAGAGTTCATACCGTATAAGAAAAGCTAAAATCGGTATTCGACCACTTCAAAACATCTGCTTCATATGAAAACCTCAACTTCCCGGCATTCCGCATTTTTTCCTGTAATACATGAACAGAATAAGAAAGTTATAGGACAGAAAGAAAAAGAAAAACCGTCAAATATCATGGAGCGTGTTCAGAAAGAAGTATAAAATCACACCTTTAGTTGATGACTACATCCTTTACATAGAACTTCTGTTCCAGTACCGGCATTAACACTCAAGTAAATCTTTTCTCTCTTAGAGATTTTCTTTACAGCAGGAGTCACATACTCAGGAAAGTTGAAAGGAATATCGAGGAAAAACTGCCCTTCGTTGTAAGTCAACTTCTGAGACCAAGACATCTTGATAGAGAGGTTTGTACCTCCATCAACCTGGAAACAAGAAAAGAAATGATAGGCCTAATCAGAAAGAGAAATAAACAAACAAACAAAAAAAAAAACACAAGAAGAGGAAAGAACATTCAAGTGGAAACTTGGACCATCATCACCTGTGGCACTGTGAGAGTGAATATGTTTGGTTTCAAGAAGCCTGCATTTTGAGGTTGTGCCGATTTCTCCAATTCGTTGCCATCTTCGGCTGAGATCAATTGGGTTGTGTAAGATTTTCTAGGAATCTCAACCTCAACACTTAGAATTGAACCCTGTTTAGCCATTTAGTATCAGTTTGAGATCCATCAGAGAATGGAGCTGGATCCCCTGCTTCAGACTCAGAAGTGAGCCGTTTGTGGTAACAAAGTACAAGACCAAGCATTCGAGCTTAGTGTAAACCATCAACGACTTCACAGATCACTAACTAATAATAAGCGAATCCTTCACCAAAATCCTCGATTTCCACATCGTATTTTTCATATTGAGAGACGAAACATTAGCAGTGAACTAAATTCGTAATGAGAAATCTCAATTTTCCCGGGAAAAAAAAAAAAGAAAGAAAGCAAACCTGTTCTCCCATAGGAATAGCGATTCGGCAATCACATCTCTTGCTTCCCATAACGCAGTGAACACGCCACGATCCGGTGACGGTAACGAGAGCCGTGTCGAGGTAACAATCAACGTCGAGCTCAATCGCGTTCATCTGCAAGGGAATCAGAGCCGGTGGGTCGCACCTGCCGTGCACGTGAGGCTGATAGCTGGGCAAATCCGGGTTATCCACAATCCCCGGGTCGGGTATAACGGCGTAAACCATCGGTGCCGAAGGAAGGTAAGCCTGCGCCGGGGAAGATCTCTCCATCGGCGCCGCTAGCCTCGGCGCCGCAACCGCTCGGTCGTTTCCGAAATAAATCCGTTTCGCGAGCTTAAGCCCATCGTCCACCGCCCTTGCGAAATCCTCCGCCATCTTTCCCACACAGACGGCGAAGAAATTTGTCTCGGGTTGCTTCGCCTTCTTCTCTTTATTTTCTCGGGAAAGCAAATCAGAATTGAAAATCCGGAGGACGAATCGTTGAAATTGATTCTAATTCGGTTTCTTTCTTCAGACAACGATGGGGAAAAAAAGGGGAAAGAAATCACTTCGGAGTCGAGTTTTTTCCAGCGCATTTTTCACTAATTTATTATTATTTATATGTAATTTTTTGTATCACCCAAATACCATTTTCCTTTTTTTGGCGCGATCAAGATCCAACGGTCAGGAGCCAAGTTCAGTATACCGACAAGGTGGGCGAATCAGCTACATTCGCATTCATTTTTTCGGACGGATAAATGAATTCGTGCGAACGAATCGTTTCTAGCCACGTGGCAAGAGAACATGGTGGACCCACCGGAGTATGAATGTAGTTGAAGCATCCGATTCTAACTTTAACGTTCTTCAACGGTATAATGTCATGGATGCTTGTGCGCTCTCACGTGACTAGCCGTTGGGTCATGGGCTTTCCATGCGTTTATTGGGTTGGTGGGATCAGGTGATGTATACTTAGGCTGGATTATTATTAGTTTCTTTGGTTTCTTATTTGGGAATAGTTGGTTGGATTATTTCCTGATTTAGTAGTGTTTTGGTAATATGGTCTAAGCAAATCAGGACTTTATAACCTTAGGCCGAGAGTTATTATTACTTATGATTATTTAATAATTGATGGAAATAGTTAGTGTGGAGTTATGGTTAATCAATGCTCTGATTACAAATTTGCAATCTAATTACAGAAATGATAATGTATTTATTAGTGATGATTCTTCATATTGTAACTGCTGGAAGCCTGGAAGTTTGATAGCTCTATCCTTGGAAATAAAATTACATTATTACAAACTCTGATTTCGATTCAATTAAATGTCAAATGAGAGTAATGTTAATCTTTTATAGGTACAATTTAACGTTATTTCTGTGAAAAAATTCAGTGTTTTTTCATTTGAATAACTTTTTTTAGACAAAAGGATGTTTTTTTTTAAAAATAAACATGAATACTGTTTTTTTTTGTCACATTTTGTTGTCTTCTACCGTAGGCTCCTTTTACGTAGCAGAGAGATAAACTAAGGATTTTTAGTTTCCACGTAGAAGATGGATGGACTTCATGATTCATGATCAGGCAAAATTGCAAACTATCTACGTATTTACATTTCTTCTGCACTCCTCTTTCACCAAACCTAAAGCTTGTAGCTCTTCCATTAACCTTTCATATTCAGTTTTAACATTATCGAGCTCACTCCTCAGATTTAAGGCCTGCGCAAACAAAACCCAAAATTGTATCACGACAAAATCAATATCGCTTTTGCAATCATTTTGACGGTTATCCTAATCACCAGAATATGGCGACAGAGAGCAATCTCGTATGTATTTTCAAATAAAGTGACAGCTGGAATTGCCATTAAGCAACTTATTAACCGATTAATAGATAGTTTTACAAAAGACACAGAGGAAAAGACTCATGGAGAGACGCTAAATCTGCTCCATAGATTTGATATGTCTTTAGAGGAAGTTGGGATTTGGCAGGAACAACGATAAGTCAAAACCACCGAAGCAGACGAAAGAGACAAGTAATCTAAAAGAGTTGTTAATGTTATAAGGGAAGTACCTTGAGTTCAAGGTTTTGACTTCGCACCTTGTGGTCCAACCATCTACGTATAAGAGATACATAATAAATTTCTGGCCGAAATCACAAACAAAACCAGAAATTGACAATATAAGTTACATAATTTAACTTACTTTGCTCGGAGCTTCTTGTTTTCTTCCATCAGCTTGACAGTTTCACTATCTTGTGACCGTATTGCAGATCCTTGAATAAACTTCAGAGCATGTGCAAGATCAATGACGTTAGAGAAATGGAATGAGCAGAAGTGGATACAAACAAAAGTTACTATCATGTTTCTAGGTGGGGACATGTCCATGGGATATATCACACAAGGGAAATGTCATATATACTTTAAACAATGATCAGATGAAACTCAAGTTAGGAATATCCACAGTTTTGTATGCAGCGTCTAGGTATTGGGCGCATTCATGGGGTTCAACATGTTAAACAGGAATCAAAGAGAAGAAAAGATATTTTGAGGTACCTGTTCAACCCGATTCTGACCCGCCACAGTAAAGCCATCACTTCCCACCTTTCTTTTTGACGCTGCACTTGCAACAAAATCAGGATGTTCTTTCCTCTTCTCCAATGCCACTGCAACAATAATGCAACCATCACGCGTCAGCGTCAGTGAAAGTTTTTGAATGCTGAAACAGAAATTATTCAGTACAAAACGACGTCCAACAAAATGAATGCGTGAAATTAACTATTCCTTCCACACATCACGATAATAGCAGAAGCACTTGAATGTCTATACAGAGCCTTTGCAGCATTATTGTTTTCATATTTCTTAAAATGGGCATAATCCTGGACCAATCCAGGGGCTACTGTACTCGGACTGGGCAGTCGAATATTTAGAACTCCAACTTTCTTCATGGTTTAATTCGTAGTAGCATTTTACCTGGCTGGGCTGAAATTCTAGGAAGAGGCGCCAAATTTGGATTAGGAAAAACTGCTGGGAAGCCTGGAGGAGGACTTATTGCTTGTCTGCCACTATCTCCAGCAGAATTTTTGTGGAACATGTTGCCATTTGTCCTACCGCCAGGTTGAACATTTTGAGATACCTTAAGACGAGGCTTCTTAGTATACCCAATCAACACACAATGGCAGTCCCTATTAAAGATTTTCAATCATTAGAAATAGTAAGAAACACTGGAAAGTGATGCAAGCCAACTCAGAGATAATGGGGAAACTGTTCGAGGAAAACAGATGACTAAAATCCCATGCTCAGCAAGAGAACAAGATATCTTATATGGTCTTCTCTCATACACTACAAAAACTGTGTAATATTATCTATTTTGACGACGGAATAGATCAAAGTAGCAACATAACAGCCACCAAAGAGACAAGACTTAGGAAATTACCAATATTCTATTGTCATTTCCTTTAAACGGTTTTCAAGTTTCTGAAGAAGGACAGTTTTCTCAAAATCCTGCTTGTTATGGGTTGGCTCAACAAAATTAGCTTCTAGAGCACCTGGAACACACATAAAACTTAACATAAATTCACCCATCAGAGAGAACTGTGCTGAAAACAGCCAAATCAGTAGGAAATTTATTGTCTTATTGATTGATCCTTTTTGCAGATTCTTACCAACAATTCCTCTTCCTTTACTGTTTGTCGTGCTCAGGACCTGCCAAAATGGCTGAAAGGAGCAAAAAGAAATAGACAAGGTCACTGTAACATACAAAGAAACTTGACGAGATACTTTGTGCTGTCTTTAACTGGGGGAAAAAACTATTCTGTGGCAAATTTCGATTTTTTAGTATGTTTAATAGTTTATAAAAAAAAGCCCTCTATATATGCATTAGTATCAGTGTAGAAAAGTCCAGCAAACATTTAGACACTTTTTCCATGGCACAGCCATACAAACAAGGATGCAACAAAAATTTAAACAGTATCCCGGTATATGGTAATCCTTTTTTCTAGTGAATGCGAACTAACATATTTAACATTTCAAAACTCACCATTATCAGACGGTTTTTATGATAAACACAGAATCCACTAAGATTTACTTTGGGAGCTTCTTTCAGAAATCCAATCGTCGTCACAACTTCAGCCTGCTCATTGAACCCCGAGATTCGAACCATAATAAAGGAGAAAAATAACTAAGAATTTTTAGAAGTAGAAAAACAAAAACCTCCTGATATTTAGCATACCCCTCCATGTCCAGCAACTTGAGGCTTATACAAGATGTACTGCGGATACTTGAGATCATCAGCAATGTTATGATGCTCGACAACCTTACCACGCAACACTATCTTGAAAGTCTCAGGAATCCGCAAGTATAGTATGGATAGGTAAACCTGAACAAAGGTATCATCAGCGGAAAATATCTCATTTCAGATGCAAGCCAGTTGTCTAGCATCTGAATAAACACAGTTGCACACACATATCTATGCGATTATATAGCTTTCTGAGGCCTTTATCTATGTCTATGTCTACTACGTATTTCCCATGAGTATTCATGATTCTCGCATACATGTATGATTCAGTATTACCGTGTATGCCACTTACAAATAAACATTAGCATAAACAATTGACCAAAAGAAATAGAAACTTACACGAAGAGAGTGAGAAAACCGGTTTGCAATATGATCATTCGCAATCTTACATTTGGTCTTTTCTATGTTTCCTTCAAGAAGAATATCCTGTACAAAACAAGGAACAAGACAAGATCTTAATTAATGATAATACTTTGGCAATTAAAAGAATATCAGAAACATGAAAGATAAATCATATTAACCTCTGCAACCGAGTCAAAGTCTAATTCCAACTTAGCATCGCTGTTGAGCCACATATTATAGATGATAACCTTTGTCCCATGTGATCCAACGTTGTCAAACTGCCACGAGGAGAAAAGAAGGAAGCAAACTGTCACTGAAAAGAGGAACTTCGTAACTTATAAGATCAAAGAAACGCTTTTATATGATGCAGGGGCAAGCACAAACAGAAAATAGGCCAACATGAATGAGCTTAAGTTGAGCGCACACTTAAATCCCCATTGAATAGCTCACTTGTCTTACCTGGGCCTTCATTCATCCATATTATCAAGGAGTGGGAGGAGATATAAATACTACTTTAGGCAACAACATCCGAGAAATATGGAATTATAAAAACGGAGAGCAATCGTGGATGGCTTCAAAGGTAAGATCAAGAAATTATAAAAACTTGAAGCTCATCAAAAGTGAGTAGTATCATAACAGGAAATATCCCACTCATGGAGCCCCAAATTTTAGGCAAGTAATCAATAAATATACAGATTGCAAACAACATGAGTTGCATGGAGAAATTTTTATCAAGAAAATTGGCCTTGCCTGTTGCAAAAGTTCTGCCTCAGTTGAAAATGGAGACCATTCTAGTAGAATTGAGAGACTGGATATATAATGTTCTCGGTCTTGCAATGTCACAAATTCGCTAGTTGATGCCTTAAACTCGTAATCCAACTGAATATTGGCTACACGGTTAGATTACAGAAAAACAAGGTAAAATCATGTGTGTGATAAAAGGAGACTTACAATGGGAACAACTATTCTGTCATGGCCAGTACGGGTCAGGTATGTATAAGAAAGGAGCCCTATACTTTGTGTCCATGTTCTAGTTAGATGGAAAAGAAAACAATCAGTACCCTCTTTTGTTTAGAACGCAAATTATAAAATGAAATTATTAATGGAGGCAACTAGAAAGGTAAAACGATCAAACGTACACCCATATATACTATTTCAAAATCCTCCAATACAACAATGGCCACTCACTGGTTCTTAAAATGGCGGCTGAAAACAATGACATCTGCCCCAAGTCTCATTGTGCTGGTCTTGAAACCATTTCCATCTAAAGAATCATAACAAAGACTGAGATGCAGAACAATTTATCTAAAAATATCTACCGCAAAATCATAATTAGAGATATGTGTTGCAGAATCATAACTAAAGACACAAGTCTAACGTGTGAAGAGAAATACATACATCTTCCAATGGCTGAATCCGATTTCTTATCTGAGAATCCAAAACCCATGCAATGCCGCATTGCTTGAGGATCCATCCCACCACCATCATCTGAAAGTTTAATGCAAACATGATTAGAAAATTAATTTTCACGCCCCCTTCGTGAAATGGCACGGAACTTAACCCAAGAAAAGATGCCATGCAAGAATACCTTGAATTAGCAATGCTGTTGTACCATCCCTTGGGTTTGTGGTTTTATCTACAATGACAAAAGTGCCCCCATTTTGGATCTATAGGGTGACGAAGATAGAAAGCACACAACATATTAATAATTTGTCATTCAGAACTTTTAAGATCAGTTCACTAATATTTTCGGCACACTTCCACCTTAATGAAACAAACGACAAAATGGAGTCAGAAAGTGAAGCGCCTGGGTTCCAGAAAACAAGTTCTCTATCAAGAATATCTTTATACTAGTATATCAACTATTTTGAGACTCAAAACATTTTCAGTTTTCCCAAGAAATCAAGATGTGTAGAAACAAACGTTCTAAAGAATCTCATTCATATATTTACAGTAATGAACAAGCAGGTAATCAGATTAAACTATTAAGCACATCAAAAGAATGGACGTACCTCATCAACAGCATTGTCAAGCATTTCTGCAACAGCTGCAGGTAGAGAGAACCAGACAAGTCTTGTTAAAACGCTTGAATAATGTTTGCTAGACACATGTAAAGAAAGGGGAAATTATGATTGCATACCACCAAAAGCCCATTTATGTGAGGTAGCATTGGAGTGAAGGAACATAGGGTGCACATGAAGATAATTTTTTCCAGCTGTGAAACATATGTCAAGAACCATAAGCAAAACGCTTCCACATATATAGAGAAAAACTAAGGAATCAAGGTAAAGGAAACGATGTTCTCTGGTGTGTATGACTCAAAACATTATAACCTCCAGCGATAAAGACCAACTCATCCAAGCAAAGAGTAAGAAAAAGTAAATGACAACTGAGTTTTAGCAATATCGCATACTTGACTGCTGAGACTTTGAACTCAGTTCATCAGTGTAGTTTCCAGCTTTCCAGAATTGCCTACAAATAGGGGCTGGGCATATGGTGGATGAAGAAGTGACACCGGCATCTTCAGGTGGCGTCCGGACCTGATCAACCACACTTGTGCTACTTTGCCCACCGATTGATCCTCTATTTTCTTCTGAATCTTGAGGTAGAGCATATTCTTTGGAACCATGGCTTCTAGGTGAGTTGTTCTGAAGCATCGAGCGGTGCTCGGGTTTAATAACCAAAGCATCATGAGAAACGTTCACACTTCTGTTGTAGCTCATCTTGTTTATCTGGTGGGGAAAATAAAATATATAAGAAACGTATTTCAGAGATATCACACTCACAGTCACAGAATTCGTATATTCTTGTGTATATGTGCGCCCTAAGAAATCCCTCAAACCTCACTATTATGAAGAAAAAGTGTCCTGCAAAATTTATGGAGCAATTCTAGTAAATGGAACTCAGATAAATGACCTAGAAATTTAAAAATCAGGGGAATAACAGAATCACAAAGGCCAAGAGAGAGTGAGAGAGAGAGAGAGAGAAGATCTTCGCTGCTAAGGATCTTAGTTTACCTGAAAATTATTCTCATGCAAATCGACTGCTACTTTCCATTTTTTCGACAATGTGCGACGATATAAATAGAGCAGAAGAAGATATGAAAGTTGACAATAATCTTAGGGCTTCTCTCGGTATACCGATTACCACTCCGGCGACACTTCGACTTAGCACTCCTCGTGGAATTTTTCAGGGCGTTGAGAGAACGACGGCGATGAAACCAGACAGTCGAGGAGTGAGGTCTCGGATAGCTGCCGGATATTGTTCCGGTGAAAACAAAGACAAAATACGTAGAGAGAAATAAATAGATTAAAAATCTGAGTCTGAAGAGAGAGAGACGATTCAGATGGGATGAAATTCGCGGAGGAGAGCTTGAGAAAGGACAGTGGGGGAATTTGGAGGGGAAACTTCTAGGGGAAGAAGTTGGGGAAGACGGTGAACGAAACAATGTGGGGCCAGCTTATATTTATAATTTATTTAAATAAATATTATAAACTAACAAATGATACTCCCAGAAAAGAAAAAAATAGTAAAATACGGACAAGTAGAAAAAAAAAGGTTAATATCTACATGGAGTAAGAAAGTAAAAAAAAATTGATGCTTTGCTTATCAATGTCCTGAGATTAGTTACATTGGCAAGTTGAATTTTTTAATTCAACTATTGATTCAATACAATGATATGTTGAAAAAAATACAAAACTGAGTTAGATTCATATCTGTTGAATTCTTTCAACATGTTGAATCTAAAAAAAAGAGTAGAAAGAGAACAACATATGACATACTAACATGTAGTGATTGCATGAAAAAAAATATTTTTATCTAAATTATTTGAGATCAGTTATTTTATAGAAAAATATGTTTTCTTTTATTTTATTGTATCAAAATTCATTATTTTTCATACTCTATAAATAAAGATTTGGTTTATTTAATTTGCATACATAAAAAAACATTTTTTATTATTATATTTTTCTTAATAATTTCAAATAATAAAATAAAAATAGTAGGGTATAGTGTTAAATTTTTATTAAACAAAATTATTGTAAATAGAAAAGTTAAATTGTGTGTTGAATGATTAGGTGAAAGAGAGAGAAAATGAAATAGAGTGTTAAATGAGAAAAAATAGAGTGTTGAAAATCAAAACCATTGTGAATAGTCTCATTCATATGCATTGCTGTCACTTGTTTTTTTGTGTGTGACAACACACCAACCTACTACTATATTTTCCACTCTATAAAAGCATCTCCAACTCACCACTATTTTTTATTTTAAATGCTATTTTAGATGAAAATATTCTCCAATTCACCTCTATTTTCATCACTAAAATAATATTTTTCTATTTTTTCTTTTATATTTAGAAGACTTTTATTTTTTACTTTAAAATAAAGTTGAACTTTTTATAAGAGAAAATAGAAAAACCCACCTCTATTAGAGTTAAAAATAGAAGAATATATTGGAAAAAAACTCACCTCTATTATAGAGTTCCTCTATTTTAGAGTCAAAAATAGAAGAATAAATGTTGACTTCTTCCCCAAAAAGAATATTCCAAGTATATTCTCTTTCTATCTAATTTATAAATAATTTGCAATTATACTCTTATGTTTGTCAAACATATGAATTTAATCTATTAATTTTATCTAAAAAATAAAAAATATAATTATGTAGTTGGTTTTATATAAATGTGAGAGTTTATGTAAATGTGTAGTTGGAATAATATAAATCTATAAAAGATAACAATGTGTAGTTGGATTGATAAAAATGTGAGAATTTAATTTAAATGTGTTAGTTGGATTGCTATAAATGAGTTAAAGACACAAAAAATGCAGTTGGATTGATATAAATGTGAAAATATTCATAATATAAATAATTGGTTTAATTACTTATGATAAAAAAATTTGTGTTAAAAATAAAATTTGTCTTTAACAATTATATAATCTTATATATAAAAGTTGCTCAACTCTCTCCATATGAGTGACACATCTGCATTTGAGAATTGATATGGGAATGACATGTGTCATTTTAAAGAAAATTAATTAATAAATTTTAAATGTTAACCACTAAAAAAAATGAAAAGTGTTTTTAATTGATTCTTAAATAACATTTATGTAAATATTAAACAAGAATTTATGTTATAATTAATTAAAAATTGATGTTTTTAATAACTTCTTGATTTTTAATGATATTATATTTTTAAATAATTGATTTATAATAAAATATTAACAAATGATGATCATGTTTTTTTTATAAAAAAAATTTACAAAAATATATAAATTTGAAATAGTTGAAGAAAAAATCTATTTAAAATTACAGTTTTAAAAAAGAAAATTAATTAATAAATTTTAATTTTAAATTTTAAACTACTCAAAAAAATATCTATTAATTGATTTTAAATAACATTTATGTAAATATTAAACAAGTATGTTATAATTAATTAAATATATTGATAGATAATTAAACAAGAATTTATGTAAATATTAACTCTTGATTTTTAATGATATTGTATTTCAAATTGATTGATTTATAATAATATACTAACACATAACAAATAATGTTTATATTTTTTAAGAAAATACAAAAATATATAAATTTGAAATAGTTGAAGAAAAAAATCCGCATGTTACGTGCAGATATTCACCTAGTAACATATAATAGTGAAATAGTTGAAGTATAAAAAAAAAAAAATCCACACTAAAATGGAAGGGTAACAGTATCATGCTATATTTAATTCAATATTACCTCGTATATTTATTTTTAGGGAGGATTGTTATTGTGACCTTAAAAGAGCTGAAATTAGTATAACAACCTTACATTCTCGAAATTAGTATAATAACCTTCTATTTTAAAAAAACTCGATTTTACCATTGGGAAGCTTTGATGAAAAAAACGTATTTACAAAAATGCCATTATTAAATTATTTACACGTCAGCCGTTAAAATCGGGCACCCAGAAATAAGTCTACCAAGTTTAATGGTAGATATATAAGTTTTGGTAGATTTAAAAATATGTCTGTAGGCATAATAATTTTTGGTAGACTTAATATTCCAAAAATAGATTTGTTTAGATGTTGATAGACTTATAATGATAGATTTATTTTCATCGAAAGGTAGATTTAAAATTTTTGGTAGATATTTGAATGTGTTGGTAGACTTGTTGATTTTTAAGGTAGATTTATTTTCAAGTTGGTAGACATAATGTTGTTGAGTTGACTTTGTGAGATGTGGTTGACCAAAATCGGTAGACTTATTAACTTTCATAGTAGACTTGTAAGACACGAAAATAAACTTATTTCTAATAAAATAAATCTACTACAATATAAAAAATTTCTTCGTGATAGTTTTGTTGTACGCATGGTAGATGTAAATGTCGATAATAGATTTGTTTTGAAATAGTATACTTGTTTTCTGTATGGTAGACTTAAAAGTTCCGTTAGAGAGTATAGATATGTGATAGACATATGAGATTATGTAATAGATATATTTGGCGGTGGTAGACTTATTTAAAAAAAAAAAGATTTATTTGATAATATAGTAGACATATAACTCATTTGGGAGCTTCGATGTTGGTAGAGTTATTTGAAAATTGGTAGACCTATTCGAAATTGGTAGACATATTGAAAGTTGATAGATATATTTACTTCACTGAACGGTAGTCTTAATGATATGAAATGACGTTTTTATCAAGTAGTTATTATCGAATTTTTCTGTTCCAACCAGTGCATCTAGTAGTTCTTATGATTTCCTCTCTTTACCTCTTTTGGAGTACTTTTTGTATCTTGCATTTACTTGTTTAATCATCACCATATAACTCATCTAGTACTATTTGTATGAAAATTTTGACTTGGATCAATGTTATTATGAGGTTCGATTAAGTTATATGTTGTTGAAGACATACTTGCAAAAGCTACCGCAAGATACACTTATGGGTTTTTAGCAAGTACTCGACAATTTGGTGGTTTTTTTGCGACAATTTGAAAACAAAACGGTCCGTCCATTTATGCGTCTAGATTATAGACAAAGCGGAGTCTAAAAATATCATCAAAGATGTCGAAACTTCAATCGTATAAGGTGATGGTTAAACAAGTAAATCATACATGACTCACTAACTATACAATACCATATATGATCAAACAAGTCTACCATACATAAATCAACTATAACATACAAAGAACAATAACTATATCATACATGATTCAACAACTCTACCATACATACAGAGAACAACAACTCTATCATACATGATTCAACAACTCTATCATACATGATTCAACAACTCTATCATACATACACCAAACAATAACTTTACAAAACAAGTCTACTATACACGGATGTCTGATTCCTGCAACACACACAAATTAGGGTTAGCTTTACTTTCGAAAGCTCACTTTCAGCTGCCGTTGCAACTGTAACTCTATCTTTCGCACAATCGACGCCGAAAGTTCCTTTTCAGCCCCTGCCGCCATAGGTGACTGGTGTCTTTCGCCCAAAAAACACCGGAAGTTCCCTAATATGCTCGCCAGGTCCTCACATTGATTCTCTGAAGAAGATGAAACGACTTCAAGGCCTCAAACACGAAATCGCCAGAATCACAAATTCGCCGGAAACACAAAAAAAATTCAGTATAATAACTCTATCATACATGATTAAACAAGTCTACCATACATGGAACAATTAATTATATATGATTCCATAAATCTATTATATACGGAAAACTGACGTGTTCGTCACCGAGAGAAGACGAGAGGTTTGAAATCAGCTTTTTTGTCTTTCGTCTTCTCCGGTGCTTGCTGTAGCCGACAAGCCGACAACGGTGAAGAACGCGAAAATGAAAAAGTGAATGAAATGAAATGACGAAGAAAAACGAAACGACAAATGAAAAAAAACTTATCGAAGATGCATAATATGCCGATAAGAAGCATAGAAGGTGACCGGAAACGATGCAGACGCCGGAAACTCGCTAAATCTAGAAAATCATCGTCATCGTCGGTTTCTCAGCCACCTCTAGGTTTTTTTTTTCGGAGATGAAATAGAAATTAGGTTGAAAACAAAATTCCAAAGATAATAACAAAAAATTATTTTTATTATTTTTTAAAAAATTAATTAATTTACGAAATTAAAAAAAAAAAACTGATTTTCATGTGTAAGGGGTTACACTGTCTTTTCCACGCTGGTAAGGTTATTCTAGCAAAAATGTAAGGGATCTATGTTATTTTTGCAAACAAGCCTGTTTGTAATGTCATTCTAGTAATTATTCTCTTATTTTTATTATATTTATTACAAAAAATATAATTTTTTCAATTCACTATCACAATATCATTTTCAACTAATTAACAACACTATTCCACATACTTTTATTTATTTCATAGAAGTTATAAATTCTCTCAAATCACTATCATCTATGTTCTCTTTGCTTTTTCTTCCACAACTTAAGTATTACTACAATTTAGCTATATATCTTTTAGTTATATGTTATTATGAAAAAAAAAAAAGCATTGCTATGGTTCTTGTAAATTTACTTTTTATACCATTCACATGTATCACCAGAACAATTTGGCTACAAAATGAGCAGCGGTATAGTTCTAAGCACTCTTTTTGAAAGATATTGATCAGATCTATTATATTTTGTAAAGTTAAACGAGATATGGGATTAAAAGTTAAATGTCCCAATTTTATATATAACGTAAAAGAGTAATGTAGACAACTTATATTCAGTGAAGAATGTGAGTTTCTTTTCATCTTTAATCCACAATAGGCCAACCCATTAGATCATTAGCTCATTATTCCATTCCATTTGTGAAATGGTGTTTGTTTATGATGGATCTTTGGTTATGCCAATAGATGACAAGCATTTATTCAACGTAAACATAGTATTTTTGTTCACCTTCATATCAAAAGGATTTAAGAGAGAAAAGAATTGCGTAAAATTCTTCGTTGAGCATTTTATAAACACGACACAAGAACATTTAAAAATCCTAAGAAACTGATACTATCAGACTTTAGTTTCCTCATCTGTCATTAATACACTGGCACTCAAGAACGGAGGCTGTTTTGGACAATCAAATTTACAATCTTTGTTCTTTAACATGAAGACTATCTCAGACATTGACGGTCTCAATTCTACTGAAGACTGAACACACAACAATCCGATCTCAAGAACCTTCAATGCCTCTTCCTCTGTGAACTTCCCTTTTAATCGAGGATCGATCGACCGATGCAGAGTGTTTGCTTTATAATGTTCCCATACCTATCAACAACATCCAAGAAGAACCCATTACTGAGCTGGAATATGATTGTGTGTATGTGTGTGTTTTATATCCTGACTTAAAATATGGAAACAAAGCTTACTTACAGAGTATAAAACCGAGCTAGTTCCTTGCGTGAATGCATTGTTTTTCTTCCCAGTTGCTATCTCGATGATAAGAACTCCGAATGCGTAAACGTCAGCTTTCTCTGTTAATTGGCCTTTGATAAGATACTCTGGAGCCAAATAACCCGCTACAGTTTTTTTTTAAAAACCACATCACTTCAAAACTTTTTACACTTTGAGTTTCTGAAACGCGCAATGGTGTTTAAAGAAGAATCGGTGGAGAGGTTTACACTCACAGTGTTCCAGCGATTCCCAGTGTTGGTTTGCGTTTTGTCAGTTCCCATGGAACGTGCGAGTCCAAAATCCGCTATTTTGGGACACAGGTTTTGATCAAGAAGAATGTTGCTGGTTTTGATGTCTCTATGGATGATTTTTACTTCAGATCCTCTGTGAAGATATTCTAGACCTTCCGATATTCCTATGATGATGTTAAACCGTTGCTTCCAGCTCAGTATGTGGACTGTATTCTTCACTGCAAGATAAAATAAATTCGAGATAACAAAGTTGGTTAACAGGATAAGGATTCTATAAATGGGTTTGTTTAAGAGAAGATTTTGCAACTCACTGAAAAGGATCTGATCTAGGCTTCTATTATGAACATATTCATAGACAAGAAGACTTTTGGGACCTTCGATGCTGCAGCCAAGCAGCCTAACGAGGTTCTTGTGTTGAACTCCGCTAATCAGATTCACTTCGTTGAAAAACTGATCAGCCCATTCTCGAGTGTTGTTGAAGAAGAGCTTTTTGACTGCAACGATTCTGCCATCTGGAAGAATCCCTTTGTATACAGAACCTGCCCCTCCTTGGCCTAGTTTCATCGAGTCATGGAAAGACTCGGTCGCTTTCTCAAGAATCTCGTATTTGAAATTTGAACACGACGGGATTTGAGCTAAAACAAAAGAAAGAAGAACATGAATCAAGAAACGGTTCCACAAAAACAAGAACCTCATATATATATATATATATATATATATAAAGCTCAAATACCTTTCCTTTTCTTTGAAAACCGCCTGTAACTGATAAAGGCACCAAGAGAGGTAAGAATGGACAAAGAAACCACACCAATTGCTAACCTCGCAACATCTTGATTACTCAAATCTGGTAAAAACGATGACTGTATAAAGCCTTTTTGATCTGCAAAAGAAAGAAAACACAAGTTTGATGAGTGAAGAAAACTCTTTAGACCAGAATCACAACATTTCATAGTGTTCAATACCATCACCGTGTTTTCGTTCTGCAGCATCATCAAAAAACTTATGTGTAGAATACTTCAAGTAGCATCCTGTAAAGAAAGCTCTAGCTTCATGGCCATCACAAGCTCTCAAGCTCGATCTAGCATTAACCAAACAGTCCCGACACGAGTTCTCATCGAGTGTCTGCCAACACTGAGCCAGAGCGTAAACCGCAAGGCTACCACCGGCTCTAGCCACCGAAGCTGCGCCAAATCCTCCATTTTTCACGGCCTTTAGCGTTACATTCACAAAAGCCTCGTCAAGCTCTTTCCAATATTCTCCAACCCACGAAGCTGTTTTCTCGCATTGGGCTCGATCGAATCTGGGATCGAGGGATTCGTCTGAGAAATCTCGGTTGTCGAATCGTAAGAAGCATCCGTCGCTGTGGATTCGACCGAAGTTGGAGTTCGATCCTGAGCTCAAACATGTTCTCTCGAGCTCCATTTTGCTCTCGTTGAAACAACGGCGGCAATCGGAGACGGAGAGGTCTTCGCGGCACTGTAAAAACACATAGATGGGTGGAGATACATCGGTGAGGGAAGAATCGACCCAGAGCCTGTGTTCGGAAATGAGCTCGTCGACGGAAGACATTGCTCGGAGGAAATCAACGTGGCGTCTAGGGTTTACGAGCTGTTGATCTTGAGGTTGGCAGATGAGAGATTTCGAAGCAGAGGAGGAGGAAAAAGAAGAAGAAGAAGAAGAAGAAGAAGAAGAAGGTCTTGCCGTCGCTAATAGTATAAGGAATGAAACCCACGCGAGGAATTGAGCGACGGAAGCACAAAATTGCATCAGAAAATGGGGAATGTCCGACACAGCGGCGCGTGATCATGAATCGTTCAGAAGAAGAAGTCTTTCCATATGCAATTCCGCAGTTTCTGGGTAATATAATCGAGAATAACATCGATGAATTGCTTTTCAAATCCTCAGTTTTTTCACTTGATCTTCTTCCCCCACCCACTCCAACTCCGCCGTCTCTCTCTCCTCCAACGGCGGGTGGAGAGGGTACATAGATACTTTGTTGAGATAAAAGGAAACGAACGAAGAAGAAGGATCAATCTTTCTGTAGTTTTGGTTCATCTTGAGCTTTGACAGATTGAAAGTCTCTGTTTTCGTTTTGCTCTCGCTTATTTTGGATTCTGACAAGAGACAGCGAGATTTAGCTTCTCTTGTGCTTGCGCTTTCCCTTAATTTAGAGTGTTTTTTTTTTTCAACTGACTGGTCTAATGGAGAAGTTCTCTCTAATTTTAGTCCCTCTTAGCAGATTTTTAAAAGTTTTTCAAACAAAAAAAAGTTATTTTCTTTTTAATTAGCCAAAGACACATTGGTGTCGTCACCACCTCCAAACTTTTTTTTTTTTGTCTAAGACTTGTTTGCTATGAACATATTCTTATTAGCAAATTGTGAAAGTCAGATTATTCTTAACATTGTTCGCTTGTTAGTTGAACGAAAGATAATAAAGAAAGGAATCACATGTAGATTATACACGTCTCTTTAAGTACCATTACATAATAGAAATATTTACAAGTGATACAACCAAACATCTATCAAATCCTAGGTTACAACGTAAGCTGCTTCACTTAAGAAGATATAACAAAGATTGTATTCATTCTGGAATAAATCAAGGTTACAATCATTATGAACTGTAATGAGACTGTAAGAATGTGATCAGGCTAAGTAACATATGAAACGCAAATGCTATAAAACCTGCGTGAATTACTAGAAACTCAAGTCTTTCCGAGAGCGTTTCCTAGCGTTCATAAGCTCCATCAATGAGGGTAGCGGCCGAGGCACAGGTGCGTTCATTGACCTGTATAGCTTTCTTAAATCACCACTAAGATCTTTGCAAGTCTCCTTTGAAGAAGGAGAAAAAAAGCTTCTACAAGATTCCTTCTCCACTGTTTCTTCTTCTTTGTTATCATCATCTTGTAAAGACTCAACTACTTCCTCCAGATTCAACTTTTCCACTTCCGGCCAGGTTTTGGTGTAGACGCATTGATTGTGTATGGCTTTTCTCTCATGTAGTGGTCGATCAGATTCCTGAGAGCTTAGCCTTGCTCTCCCAAACAGAGTTATAGGAAGATTTTTTTCAGGGGATAAACTCAGGAGCTGCTTCTTTACGCTAGAGGATTCGATTAAGGGTTCCATCTTGGAATTTGCAGAACCCAAAGCGAGTCCATCACTCATGAGACAGCAACTAAGAGTTACTGTGTGAGTATCAGTTGCAGCAACTGAAGAAACTCCTCCCATGTCAATGTCTAGAATTTTCCAGAAGGGATCATCAGAAGAAAACCGGCTGATAAAACAGTTTTTCTTCACATAGTCCAATTCCATGGCTCTACAAGAAGGAACTGTTGATACAACCCATTTCGGAGAAAGAAGTTGCATAGCTAATTCCAATTCTTCTCGGGATGAATGCATTGAGTAACACACATGCCACATACCAAACTCATCCCTCACAGCTTCGCTAAACCTAACTTTTCTCTGCTTTTGAATTTGGCTTCCACTTTCGAAATAATCTTCATCATCACAAACATACCACTGAGCTGAAGGGCGAATGATCAGAGGTTCACTCTGAAGTTTTAATCTGGCCTCCGTAAGTTTTGCACTTGCTCTTTCATTCAGTTTAGGGAACCCACTGAATATGTGAAACCGAGAAGAAGGATCTTCAGAGACAATTTCAGGAACTATCACCATTAACGATCTGAAACACTCCAAGTTTGTAGCTTTGTCGACATAAATCTTGGAGCCAAACGTTCTGGAAACTTCTAACAGTATATCCTCTTGGCCCAACATATCACAAGCAAGATAGACAACTGGTGCATCTGGGTGGTTCCATATACAATTGATGATCTGATTCACCAGCAAGAAAGGAATTGCAATGAAAATGAGGAAACTTTACATGGTAATATTCGGTGCAAACAATGCAAACAGAAAACTACGATGATTCAACCAAATCACCTGTCTTATTGCTGAATGCTTAGTCGGAAACCTCTGAGAGGATTTCCCGAATGTGCAATCCAAGAAAATGTAATCGAGACAGCATTTTGGTGCATTGCCTTGTCTTCCCACATATTTCTCAGGCAAGCTCTGTAAGCAATCTCGTGTAAGCCTACAATCACCAGTGTGGAGTATGTTACCGAAACTTCCTTCAAACAAGAACATAACGGCTCCTGAAGGTTTTAAGTGATGAAATTCGTCAAATAGATATATCTCAATTCGGACCAAATTTCTGGACAGCTAAGAGTACAGAAAATGGACATGGAAAAACAATCGAAAGCTACACAGTTTAGAAAAAGGAAATTACCAGGACAATGATTCGCATCAAAAGCAGTAACCCTAAATTCTCCATCTGGATCATCAACGATCACCGATTGCCCAATTTCAATCTTCACGAAGAAAGACTCATCAAGCTGCACAATCGTGACAATTTTGAGATACGAAAAGGGGAAAGAGAGAGAGAGAAAGGGGAAATCAAAACCTGAGGGTGACGTTGAAGAAGAAGAGAAACCGTGAGGGGAGTAGAGTAAATGGGGAAGACGATGTTGGAAGGAGAAATCCCGACGGTGTGGTCTTTGTGAGCATGAGTCAAGAAATGATGTCTCTTCCTTCTCTTCGTCGTCGTGTACGGTCCAAAAGTGTCGACGGAAAAAGGTAAACCTCTTGGCATCTCTATCGCCATCTTCTTCTCCTCTCCTCGTCGCCGTCGAAATCCTCTTCACGGCGACGGACGTTGCCGATAATCAGGGTTTTCGGCTTCGCCGCCGATAAGAGTGGCGGCGGATTAGGCTGGTTCTTGAGGTTTGTGTTCTCCGATTGATTTGCATTGAAGACGAATCCAGATCCTAAGGAGGAGAAAAGGGTTTTTTTTTTTTTTTTTTGCACAAGCGAGGGAAATTTCCCTCCAAGCCTGTTTTGGGATCGAGTATCGGTAATAATTTAAGGATATATAAAAGTTTGGTATTTTTGTTATTTTATAATATTTCTCATTTTTCTTAAATACACCATGTTTGATTCTAGAAATAATCTAAAAGAAATTTCGATTTTAGAAATTAACGAAAAAATCAATATAATCACATGAATACGGAAATCTCATACCAATCACACAACAATTAAATCAATTAAATCAAACAAGTGAAAAACAAAAACAAAAACATGAGACAGACAATTATTGTACAAGAAGATTGAAAATGATTAATGTTTGTTTGTGGTTTTGTGATACTTGTCCTTGACCCAACGAAAACCCGTGGCAGAGCCATTCTTGAGCTTCTTAAAACCAGAAGAAGCTACAGCTTTGGTCTTGTCTAACCCTAGTCCCAATTTCTCCTTGTACTTAGCCGTGTTCGAGTTCGACGCAGCTCCACCTCCGCCGCTACTGATCACGGCGCCACCGCCGATTCGGCCTCCTTTGGCAGAGTTGCCACTGTTGTCCCACTGGTCAGCCCACGATGCTCCGTTCATTATGTTCTGTTTAAAATGTATTTAAATCAGAACCGAATTTGTATATGTAGTTTTAATCAAGCTTATAGAAATTCGATTGAATTTTTTTTTTTTGGTGATTCTCTCTCGTATTCTCTATTGTGTTTATATACACATTTCAAACTTTTTAAACACCGTGTTTCTGCGGTCAAACCTTGTGTTCGTGAACAAATACGTAAACTTCATATTGACTTGCTTCTTCCTTTGATTTTTCTAATCGTCAATAATCTTCTGGAGCCTTCCCTGGAAAAACACACAGATTGAACATTATTCTAATATAATTGTTGTTCAAACCAAAAAAAAACATTATTCTAATATAAAGAATCTCTCGTGGAAGAATACTAGTAATACTCCGTAAATTATTATATAGTTGAATCAGGTCCCCATTGTGGAAACTTCTTCAAATTCGCCGAGGCAAGACCCTCAATATTTTTAACTTATAGAGCCCTCAAGTTGAGAAAATTCAAGCAGAAAGACTTTTGTTTTAAGGTTCTATAGCAAATGGAACCCTATTTTAATCTTAGCATGTTTACCAAAAAAAAAAAAAAATGGAACCTTATTTTCATCAGTAGAGAAAGAATCTGTTTTCTGTTCTCATTGCGACGAGTCGACTATGATGAGTTTATACGATTCCAAAACTACCCCTTGATTCGGAGGTATGTAATTAATTAGCTTGTTTGGGAGTATCGCTCTGCCTTAAGCTGCAAGGCAATTACTCTGGTCTCCGCTATCGCTTTCCAAACAAATCTGACAATTCCACATATCTATAACTTGGGAAGAAAAAAAAAATACCATATGCGAGAAGGAAACTAAATTAGGATCAAAATTAGCTTTTTTCTTTTCCATTAGTTTAAGAGCTGACAATGCGTATATATGCTACCAATCTTAATTTCTCTAATCAGCCATTTTTCTTCCGGATGGATCAAATGCAACTGATGAAGGACATTGACACTGGCTCTACTGCAACACTTTCTTCTCTGAGAATGGTAGAAGCTGTGCCAACAGAAAAAAAAAAAAAAAAAAAGGTCAAGACTTGATGACTTATACAAAATGGGAATGATAACACTGGACGTCCATGACCAGAAACAGTCACAGCAAGAAGAAACCAGAAATTCTCCAGAATCAAAACAGTAGGTTTACTAACCTGGCGAGCGACCTGTGCAACACGACGACTATCACGACATGATTCAGTGTTGAAGGAATCCAAGTAACTGTTGTCTTTCTCTCCGGTCTTTTGTCTCCAGTTTCTGCTCTCATCGTCTTGCGAAAAAGAGCTTCCTCCTTCAGGGCTACTGTTGCTGCTTGCATCTTTCTCACGCTTCCTCTTGAATGCGACACACTGTTTCTCAGAAGGCGACACAAACGTAGCATTTGTAGAAAGCTCCATATCGTTCACTCTCTCTTCCTCCTTCGCTGCTTCTGTTTTGGAAGATGTCAATGATTCCACGTCATGACAATCTCCACTGGCAACTTTCCTTTCTAACGCTTCGGCTTCTCTGCGTCTACTTAGTATGGACGGAAGAGTATGGTGACAAGGATCTTTATTCTCTTTATAAGAACACCGGTTAATACTGATATCTCTGTCACTCAAATGTGGTTTGATCCCATTGGCCACCACTGATCTTTCGAGGTTACTAGAGTCCTCACGCACTAGTGAAACTGCTTCATTGGGGTTTTTCTCCTCGTTTCCAAGATTCATTTGACGACCATTTGCCAATATCTCGAGGTGATACCGACACTCTCGCAACTCCATCCTCAGATCTCCTACTATATCTTCAGCTTCTCCAAGTTGAGCTTCAAGTTCCTCAATCTTTTGCTGCTTCTTCAAAGATATCATCTCTGCCTCCTTGACCTATAACCACAGAAAGATTTTGAGAAATAGAGTTGAAAAGAACGAAACAGAAATTAAAGATACAGCACAAGTGACTGTGAAGTCCATCCTGAAGAAAATGTGCTACAATCTCAGGTTAAAAAGTTTTGATTAAACCGTGAGTTACTTAAATAAGTGGGAATTAGTATCAACCACAGCGATACATTAGAACATTAAAATAAAGTGTAAACCAGAGAACAAGCTGGGTTTCCCCTCAACAATAGAAACTCCTCAATTGTTGGTAGATTCAGAAAGAAATTTACTGCTAAACAACACTTTGACACTTGTATTTGCACAATGTGTTTCTCACTGCAAGGACCATTACGTCTCATGGACGGGTGAGCAATGAATTAAAAGGAATAGCATCTTCAACTAATAGAGATTTTAGGTAATGTAAATTCTATGTAAATCAGAGCTAAATAATCATGCGTAAAAATTAAATAAAATCAATTGAGCTGAAATTTATAAATCTTCAGGTCAGACACCTGGCTTTCAGAGAAATCATTCCACCAAAAAATGTTCTCAATGGCGCTTTCAATGCAGCAAAATATAAAATAAGAATCTACACTATCAAGGATGTAAATAAAGCTCATAGTGGTCACACAAAACTCAGAAATGTCAAAAGCTTGATCCTCGAATCCATCTCATTACAAGCAAGAAAGCAAAACAGAATTGTACAAGCATCAACTCATGAAACAACTTGTATGATGAAATTTTTCTCAAGTTTAAGAATCCACAGAAACACATTTACATTAAATTACCTTGGAATCGTACATCTGTTTAAGCCTAAGACAAGTACGGAGAGCCTCATCTCTAACCGCCACAAGCTCTTGCTGGTAACCACGCGCTTTCTTCTCCGAAATCATCACGCGCGCCGCCGCTTCCTTCGCCGTGTTCAGTATTGTATCGGCGTAGGCCTTTTTCAAGGCGGTTAATTTCTGCTACCCAAAAAAAAAAAACGAAATATTTCATCGCAAACCCAGAAGAAGTAAAAAACAAGACAAAACCCTCATCCGAAACACTAATTCAGATCAACATATGAATCAACAAACGAAATCAGAGACAATAATCCTTAGTAAAAGAGAAACGGAATCTAAGAGAAACAGAGAAAAAACAAATTTTTGTTTTTTTTTCAATTCGGAATGTGAAGCCGGCGGAGATTTAGGGATCAAAAGTTGAAATTTTTACCTCTGGGTCGGTCATTAGGGCTGAGAATGCGGTTACGGAGAGTCGAATTTTTTTCCGACCGAAGTCGCGGAGAAGAAAAGAACGAAGTAGAAATGAAAAAAAAAAAAGAAAAAAAAAAGGTAGTTTGTTTTTTTTTTCCCCAAATGTTTTGGCTTTTGCCTTGCAGAATCTGTCTGTTAGGAACTGAAAGGGACTGTAACTACCTTCTTATCCCTAACTTTCCCACTATATTACGGAAACACCACTTCCTTCGCTTCAGTTCACACTTCACACAATGTAAAACGACGGTGGGCTTTCCCGGTTTTCCCGTCGCTATATTTGTTAACGTAAAATGAAAAAAAAAATAACCCAGAAAAACAAACAAAGTCCTAAATATATCTTATGATTGATCTTTGAGCTAAAATGCTAAATTTTGTTATTTATTTGGTTACACTAATTTACTTTCGACAAATCACGTATTGCCGCCATATGTTTTTGTAGTTTAGACGAATTGTGTAATATCACGTACTGATGTTATTGTTTAGTCTTTGGATCGGTTCTAAAAATGGTTCAACGCGATCTTAAACCATATTCCTTGTGTCCTATCTAATTCTGAACATTAGTCAACATGTTTATTTCGGTACGGGTAACACTTCTTAATGAGTAGTCACTGGTCAGAGGGGGCTTAAGAGTAAATCTTACGTTTAGATACTTACATAGTTACATGTTCTCTTAATAGAGTTAGTTATTTACGTATTTATGTTTGAAATCTTCATGTTTGACTGATATCTCTCAACTAAGACTATCTTTCTCTATGTTACTGCAAAAGCTCAGAGATAACAGAACACACCGACTTTGTTTTCTTTCACTCGTTTTACAATTAATATGCAAATGATTCCACAAGTCTTGTTGTTGCTGTGTGAGTGTGGAGCAGCCTATATTCTTACAGTATAATAATGCTCTCTGAAACTCAAGGTTTCGAATACCATAAAAGGGCTTGGGCTTCTCAAGTGGGAGGGAAGTGGAACATCATTCAATCTTTTGGATCCTGTTTGAACAAATATTATTTTTAGTCAGATAAAGTTATCTGCTCACTCGTGACTCGTGATCCACGATGATCCTCTAAAATTCTGATTTAGGAAAGTCACAAATTCATCCGAATTGGCTAAAGCTAAAATAAAAAGGAGAAAAGACTCCTTTCTAGTGGCTTTACGGTTTAAACAACTCCTTTAACTTCATCTTTCTGTGCAACCAAGAAAAGGTAATGGTGACTTGCATTCCTGACCGATATTTGTGCTTTTCCTTTTCTTTTTCTTTTTCACGGGAACAAAGATATTTGATTAATAATTAGGAGATTTATTTATATATTCTTAACATGCATGTTGTTGAACCCCATGCTTTAAACTTGAATGGGATGATCATGACACCACGTTTAGAATAATAAATAAAAGCTTTCATATATTTTTCATATTTGTTTTATAACACTAACTCATGTCAATTATTTTCCATATTAATAAAGAGAAAATTGAGACAAAGGCAATGAAAAGTACAAACACAAAATAAAATAAACTACGTTACTTTTTTCTTTTTTCTTAATCCGCGTTACGGATTTCATATACTGAAGATAGCTATTACATCATTATAGACTCCACCATTTTGAAGTCTTATCAGAACTGGAAACTGTGAATAAAATTCTGTTTAGATTGAATTTCTGATATATTATTACGAGTAATAATATAAAACCAATTGCTGATCAACTTCGGTTATGAGTACAATAGTTCTTAAGAAAATTTATACTATTTTATTTCACTAATAAAAGGTCAACACCTAGTCAGCATCACCATTCTCCAAAATTTGCGAGTCCAATTCTCTTAGTTAATTATAAAGAATGTGGTTAAACTATATAGTTTGGTGTGCGGTAAAAACAATAGTTTGTAAATTTTGTTCTTTATTAAGGTAGAATTTTAAATATCTGGCTCTAAAGAAAATCTGTTAAGAAAATAACAAGTCCGTCGATTGAATCGATTACTAGTTTGAATGGTGGTGTGAATCGATAATTGTAGTTTGGACTATCAGGAGATTCGTATTTTGATAACTCCCCTAATCATCATTACATATGGTTTTAAAAAGACAACTCGTAAGGGAAATAACTTAAAAGACAAATGAAGGGCAGAGAAAAAATAAGAAAAGAAGTGATGGTTAGTATACATTAAAAATACTTATTATAATAGATGAGGATATCATGTGCTCCCATTGGCCCCATGTCTTCACCAATTTATTTTGATTCCACAATTGGAATATTCTTTTCATTAGTTATCAATCATTTAGTTCTAACCAGGAGTAGATTGTCGCGAAAAAAAAAATCAGGATTCAATGAGGACAATGTTTAAAGGGATTGGAGGCGGTAATTATATTGAATCATGAGGATGGAATGAAGATGAACTATTTTGCTAACAGTATTAGTTTTTTTTTTTCTGTGGCAACTTAACATTCAGTAAGTTACCTTTTTGTTGCTTGTGTGATTTGTTGCAAGGTAACTTAAAATAAGAAATGAGCTTATATTTATTCAGGCTGGATATAATTGGGAATCGCAATGAGTTGACCAGATTCGTTTAATAACAGTATATTATTGAGATTATATTAATTATTATAATAATTTGTTTTTTTGCTAGATTCATAGCATATTAGCATCCATTACATTATAAAACGTACTAAATGTTCGATTAAAATAAAAATGAAACAACGATTGGCAAACTTTCATTCAGCTAGACAAAACATAGAGTATTATACAGTGGCTAAGAAATAACAGCATACTTGGTTTTATTTTCTAGATATTTTACATTATAAAACAAATTAATACAATTTAACAGTTTATGAAACATCCCTAGTACATAGTTTCATGCGCATAACGGCATAAAAGCACCTCCAATGAAAACAAATAAATATTAATATTTTAATATAATACAGTTATATAATTAAATTTTAATTCTAAAATTAAAAAGTAAATGAGACATATGTAAATTACTCTACACAATGAGATTCTGAAATAAAGATTTTTAGAACCGTCTCTCTTATTTTTTTATTTTATTCTTTATTTTAATTAGTAAGAATCTTTGTAAAACCTTCGTCGTCTAAGTCTTTTACTAACTTTTCTCATTTTTATATTAAAATGTTTTCTTTATAAAATGAAAGTTTTTTCACTAGAAAACAGGGACGTCGAAAGTCCAGACACATTCAATTTTGATTAAACAAAATAGGCAGTTTCAATTAAAATGACAAATATATTAAAGAAAGAGAGAGACATTATCGGAATATATCCAAATAAATAAAAAAACAAATCAAAAAGGAAATAAGATAAATTTAGAGAGACAAGCAGGTTACCGAGGAAGCGAGTGACTTGCAAATAAGAAATAGACACGTGTTATGCTACAGTATCAACACACAACAGAAGTGTAAATTGTTGCGAAATGAGCCACGTGGATGATGTCGTGTTTATAAAAGAAGAAGATTAAGGAAGAAGAAGCTCAGATCCACTCACACCTCGTCTCCTTATTTGTACGGTTCTAAAAGGATTTGAAAGGGTAAAAAAAAAAACCAAAACAGACGCAAAGGGCAATATCGGAAAATAGTATTCTATGGCCGCCGTTAGTAGTTCGTCGGAGACCGGAGGCGGTGAAGCAGCTGAAAACAGAGAGATCATGTTGTTCGGAGTCAGGGTTGTGGTTGACCCGATGAGAAAGTGTGTCAGTTTGAACAACCTGTCTGATTACGAGAAGTCTTCGCCGGAGGAGGAGATCCCTAAGATCGGAGACGGAGATGGAGAAGATAAGAACGAACCGGATTTAATAGCCGGCGCCGCCGTCGCCGGTTACGCATCCGCCAATGAAGCTGTCCAGATTTCGTCGTCTTCCGGCGGAAATCGCGAGAGGAAACGAGGTATATACTTTTTTCTGGTTTCTGATTCTGAGGATAGCTTGAGATTCTGATGATTGTATTAGCAATCTTGCTCCATTTTTGACATTTTTCTCCAGTTTATGATTGATTCTATGCATGTTGGATTGATTGATTGATTTAGTTCTATGGATTCGTCTCTGTGGCTGATTCTTGTTTGTGAATGAAACAGGGATTCCATGGACAGAGAACGAGCACAAGAGGTTCTTGCTTGGGCTGCAGAAAGTAGGGAAAGGAGATTGGAAAGGAATATCAAGAAACTTTGTGAAGAGCAGGACGCCTACTCAAGTAGCTAGTCACGCTCAGAAATACTTCCTCCGACGAACCAACCTCAACCGTCGCCGGCGAAGATCTAGCCTTTTCGACATCACAACTGAGACCGTAAGTCTCTAATCGAATCATCATATTTTAAGCTAAAGATAAAGATTTTTCCTCCTCACCTTGTTGATTTCTTCCTAATTGTCGTACTTGAATGTGAGTGAATAGGCCTACTAGACTTTAGTTTAGTGAATACCTTAGATTGTAGATTATACTTTTCTTACTTTCATTGTGTTCTCTGCTTTCTGAAAGTTCTTTCCTTTCTTATACTTTTCAGGTTTACTCATATTTATTACCAAAGTTTCCTTTTTTAACCATTTGTACTCTAGAGCCTATTTGAGTAAGAAGTATGTTGTTTTGTAGTATTTCCTCTTTAGATCCTAAAAAAAAAAGTAGTATAAAGAAGTTTCATAGTGATTTTGGTCAAATTGGGAATATATCTTTTAAGCTGTTCCAGAAAGTGGATAGATTTAAGAAGTGAGTTATAGAAATTTTATGTGTGAACGGACTACGGAACAATAAGTGTGTGACAGTTATGGTGTGATTGGTTTTATCAGGTCACGGGAATGCCCATGGAGCAAGATCAGGTTCACCATGCTCAAGACAACTTATCACTGCCTGAAACTAACATCAGCTCTGGACATCAAGTTATGCAAGTTTTTCCTGAAGTCGCAAGAACTGATAAGGCACCACAGAGTCCATTTCATTCCAACGATTCATCCTCAAATCTTGTTCATCCGGTCCCAGTAACCTTCCAATCAAATCCTGCATTCAATCTAAACACAGATGCTGCAATTCCTGCTCAGCTTTCTCTCAACCTTTCTTTGTCCTTTAACCTCAACGAACAATCCAACTCAAGACATCCGGCTTTCACGATGATGCCAAGCTTCAGCGATGGAGATAGCAATAGCAGCATCATCAGAGTTGCTTAGACCTATAAGCCAAGGTGAATCTACAAGACCTTGCTTCTTTCTATGTTTCTCTGTTGTAGTACTAGTACATATTAGGTTCAAACAGATAACCAAAAAAACCGTTTTGTCAAAGTCTCAGTCTTGTTTTTTGATCTTTCTTTAGGCCTTACTTTATCAAACTTTTATGTATTTTGTCTGAAAAAAAAATCAGGGGAAAAAAAGAACAATAACAGAGGAAGGGCTTTAGAGATGGACGAACTGTGTTTAGGGTTCTTCATCGTCTTTGTTTTTGTGTTTGTTTGTTTGTTCGTTTGTAAAAAAACTCTGCCCTGTGTGTTTTGTTTTGTGGTAAGTAAGTTAAAAGAAGTCGTGATTCTCATGTGGCCCATCTCAATCAATGGTTGGTGATTTGTGGGGCTTTTCTATATCTTATCTTTTGGGGATAAGCTAAAATGTATGTATGTGGTTCGTCGAATATTTTATCATTACCTTTAATACCATAATAATGTTAGCAAATTTCATTAGCCACTCTGACATTTGTGGATTTTTGTTTTCCCAAGCAAATGCCCTTTTTCTTGTAGATAATGGTAATTAGGTGTAATTACGTCTTATCTGTGCTTAAAACGGATGATTAGCCATAAACATCAAGACTCCACTAATGGATCTCTATGAAAAATCCAAAAAAGCAGAACATATAAAGTTTAAAAACACCACTCTAAATTTGCCAATTTTCCTCCTCTGCGATCAACCGTTATTTCAGGTATTTTTTGGTCTTTAACCTCAATTCAAATCTTTTCCATTCCAAAGATAGAAGACTAAGTAATACAGGTCATAACCTCTGTTTTTTTTCTTTTCTTCTTCTTTCACCATTTCAATCAATCTTCATGTAAACTTTTTAGATCATTTCCCAATTCTTGCTCCTGTTAATTTGTCTCTGTGCTTTGCTTTTATCTTCGTGATCGCTTTTGTTTGCTATCACAACAATGTCTAATCGTTCCTTCAAGAATTTCATAGAAGAAGAACTTGGAAGTTTCCCACAGTTTTTAATCTACGCTATTCTTGAATGGATTATCATCATTATCCTCTTCATCGACGGTTTCCTCGCTTTCTTCTCTAACCAACTTGCTAAATTCTTCGACCTCAAAATCCCTTGTCTTCTCTGCACTAGAATCGATCATGTTCTTGTAAGAAGAAACCCTGATTTCTATTACAACGACTCGATCTGCGATTCCCACAAGAAGAACGTTTCTTCTCTCGCTTACTGTCATGTCCACAAGAAACTCTCTGAGATCAAACGAATGTGCGAAGGATGCCTCCTCTCTTTCGCTACCGAGAAAGAATCAGACGTTGATACTTACAAATCTCTTATTGGAATCTTACATAAGGATCTCGAGCTTCTTATTGACGATGAACGTGAGCTTCATCAGTTGGCGTTTCCGGTTTCGGGTTCGAAGAAAGATGAAAACTTTAATCAGATTCAGCACAGAGCTAACAACAGCAACGACAGGTTTCAGCAACAGCAACGTTGTTCTTGTTGCGGAGAGCTTTTGAAGATAAAATCCGAGAAACCAAAGAATAATACTGCTCCTAGTCCTTCTCCTAGAGTTTCATTCAATCAAAGAACTTTGGATCTGTCTCACATGAAATTGCCTGAGGAGGAAGATTCTGTTAACATGAAAGGCGCATTGGCAGATTCAGTTGATGATAGAACACCGAGTTCTGTAAAAGGAGGAAACAATAGATTCTTTGGGATTCCTCTTTCTGATTCGGCTCAGAACAGTCCGAGATGGTCTGTTCGATCTACGAAGAAGTCAGTGAATGATCAGAATGGTCAGGAGAGCGAAGTGTTGGATGGAGATTCGATACTTCATCATTTGAAGAGACAGGTTAGATTGGATCGGAAGTCGTTGATGGATTTGTATATGGAGTTAGACGAAGAGAGGAGTGCTACAGCTGTTGCAGCTAACAACGCGATGGCTATGATCACGAGGCTTCAAGCCGAGAAAGCTGCGGTTCAAATGGAGGCATTGCAGTATCAGAGAATGATGGATGAGCAAGCGGAGTATGATCAAGAAGCTTTGCAGTCTATGAATGGTTTGTTGGTTAAGAGAGAAGAGGAAATGAAAGAGCTTGAAGCTGAAATTGAGGTTTATAGATTGAGATATGGATTGCTGAGCGAAGAAGAAGAAGAAGAAGATGGCAAAGGAGGAGAAGCAGAAGAGTTTCTTGACGAAGAAGGCGATGAAACCAAAGAAGTCTCGGATTTGCCTGTTTGTTCTTCAAATCATGAAGGAGATTTGGAACAAACGAAACATTCAGCTGAGGAGCCTAAAGCCAACAATGGCGGGATCATAAAGGAAGAAAAAAGTAAGCGATTCATCTGGTTTTATGTTTCTTTAAGAATCTTGAGGTTGATTTCAAACTTTCTTAATCTTTTTTTTTTTTTTTGCTTTTGTTACAGATAATGGAAGCAGAAAAGCTTTATTGATGAAGGAGATTTCAGAAATTACAGAGAGACTAAATGCAATTGAATCAAAAGGTGAATTGTTGCAACAAATTTCAGAGGTTTTAGATGTTAGTGAAGGTGAAGCAATTCTATTACAGATATCTCAGAATCTGCATATGCTTCGTAGTTTCATCGAAATGCCATCGGAATCATGAAATGTTTTACTTACTTCTTCTGTCATCAGAAGAAATCAAAACAGCATCCTTGTATCAAATCTGAATGTAACTGATACTGAAATTTTTTATTACAGAACAAGCAAAGCTTTTTCTGCCTCGTCTCTTACTTGAAATTCAATCTTGACTCTTTTTTCTTAGAACTTGGTTGAATCTTTATTTGATGATTCAGTTGAAACTAAAACCCTGTCGCCAAGTAAATTTTTTCCTAACTAAAAAAATGATATATTAAAATGTCACTTTAACAACCCATAGAGACTTGACCAAGACAAAAATGTATCAAACATATCCTACTTAAATTCTTACCAACTAATTCACTGATGAAAAAAATTCGTGCATTTTCGACCAATGATTTTGGATTGAGTACCAGAAAATTCTCTGAACTTTTCCTTTGTTTCTTAAAAACAGTAGCTTAAGTCTTGAAATCATTATGTATTGTATGACTAAGCCAGAAATCTTCTCTGATTAACAAAAGACAGAGACAGTTTATAGCCCATTAACTTTGAAAAGTTCTTCACATTTATCGTCTTTTCGAATGCTTCTTACGACAAAACAGAGATAAAGAGTAATACAGACTAAATCAGCGCATCTTAGAAGCATTACTAATAAAGAAACATTTTTGTCATGTTCCTTTCTCTAATCTCAACTAATATACAAGATTTTTTTCTAGACTGAAAAAAGAGAACAAGTCAAAAGAGATTATTGCCAAAGACTAGAATAACCACTATATATCTACAAAACAAAGGATGCTCTGTTTCCATCATTCTCAATAGCTATGGCTACTCTTCAAGTCTCTTCCTTTCTTTTCAGATCTTTCCTTCTGACACTCTGTATCTTCACAATCCCATCTATCTCATCCGATTCAGACCCATTACAAGACTTTTGCGTTGGTGATCTCAAAGCTTCTCCTTCCATCAATGGCTTCCCTTGCAAACAATCCGTCTCCGCTTCTGACTTCTTCTTCTCCGGCTTAGGCGGTCCGCTAAACACATCAAACCCTAATGGCGTTACCGTTTCCCCAGCGAACGTCTTAACCTTTCCGGGACTAAACACTTTAGGGCTCTCGATGAACAACGTTGAGTTTGCTCCAGGCGGTGTTAATCCGCCTCACTCTCACCCGCGTGCAACCGAAGCAGGAATTGTGATCGAAGGCTCGGTCTTTGTCGGGTTCTTGACAACGAACAACACTTTGTTCTCGAAGGTTATCTATGCTGGAGAGATGTTTGTTGTCCCTAGAGGATTGGTTCATTTTCAATGGAACGTTGGAAATGGGAAAGCGCGTTTGATAACCGCTTTTAATAGTCAGCTTCCAGGAGCGGCTGTTCTGCCTAGTTCTCTGTTTGGCTCATTCCCTGAGATTCCAAACGCGGTTTTGACGAGAACGTTTAGGACCGATGATGCAACTGTGAACAATCTCAAGTCCAAGTTTGCTGTTTGAGTCTTTCTTTTTGGTGTTTAATTCTTGAAATGATCTTTCTCAACTTGATTTCATAGCAGTAATTGTATACACTCATGTGTAATAATAGGTACGAAAAATCCGACACTTAACATTAATAAGATTTATCTCTTTTTCTTTTTTTCCGTCTTCTCTATGATCATCTTTCTTGTGAAGATGTCTTTTGGTTACGATATGAGCAGCTACTTCGCAATTCAATGGACCAGCCCTTGAAATTGATCCAGAGAACTCATTCTCTAACAAGTTGTCTAGTTCTTTGGGATTTTGTTTGATTATATGTAACTAAATCCTTTGAGGCTGAGTAATCGATTTTTCCTTAATTAAACTATAATTGAAAAGCCTCTCTGAATAATCATAGAGACATTGTCAACCGATGGTGTTCAATTTGATTCTTAAAACAAGTCTAATTGACATTCTTAATAGCTAACTAAATTAACAAAATTTTATCTAGACGGATGGTATCCAATTATACACTCAAATTTTACATTATTTTGAGCGTAGTTGATTGCAAAGATTTTTTTTTAAAAGAAAGTGACAAGTTATTCATCAATTAGCGATCCCAAACTCGGTTTTGACCAAAAAGTTTAGGATTGATGATAAAAGTTAAAACTGTGAACAAGGTGACGTCTAAGTTTGCTGTTTGATCAATGTTTATGGAATCATTTTCAATAGGATTTGTATCAAAAATCGAAAAACGAAGATTTATAAGTAAATAAAAAAGCAACTATTTTTCTTTATTTAGATTGTTTGTTTATTTATAAGTTGAAAAGTAGAAGAAAGATAGACTAAAAATGGAAAGGCTGCTCCAAATAGTTGTTATATCCCAAGAACAACTCTTTTTCTTTAGCAAGAATAGATTCAACGAACCCATTGCTCGAAGATTCTTCTTCGATTTGAGATGCTGGGATTGATGTATTAGCCCTCGTAGATGCTGCTGCCTCTGAGAAATCGCTACCGAACAAGTTGTCTAGTTCTTGATCAGGATGAATCTGTTGGTTTTCATGGAAGCTTTCTTGGTCAAGAAGAAAGTCAGACCAGGTGAAGTTAACCTCAGAATTCTCCTGAGCTATGGTAGAACAAGTTGAAGAGAACAATGGAGGAGACGAGTTAGAAGAAGACGAAGAGGCGTACATAAACGTAGACTCGGGCTTGATTTGGTTCGATGACTCGGTCATAAGCTTGATTGCTTGTAAATGAAACATAAGATCTCCTGAACCGTCAGGTTGTTGTTGATGAGGATCTTCATTGAGCGAGTGATTACGTCCAAGAGATCCGGTTTGGTTCAATGGATTAGGGTTTAGGGTTCCACCACCATTAATGTTGCCGTATTCAGCAAGTACATGAGAAAAAGGACGATGAGTGACATGATCTATCCCCATTTGAGACAGTTTCTTTTTTAGTTTTGAGTTCCAGATCATCTTCACTTCTTCTTCTGTCTTTCCTGGTAAATGTTGTGCAATAAGTGGCCATCTACATCCACACAAACAACAAAAATCATGAGAATCTGCGAATTCTCAATACTCTACAGAAACATTAATTTTCCAGTAATTCACGATATATATATATACACAACCTGCTTCCCATTGCCGCGTGCATCTTGATGATCAGATCTTCTTCTTCAGGAGTGAAGCTCTCATGCTTAGAACCTGAATTATCACTCTTTCTAACTCTGCAACTCTTCCCACATTTCTTAAGTCCTATTAATAATCAAACACACATATAGATATATCAAATCAATATCATATAATTAAAAGGAAAAAAAGAAAAAAGCTTTTGTAACCTATTTTTTTAGGAGTTGCGGATCCATTTTTGGACGCAGATGCGAACGCAAACTTCTGAACGGGGTTTTCTTCCTCTGCCCAAGGATTCTTTGATTTTGAAGAGCAAGATCTCACCATTTTTCTTTAAAGAAACAAAATTATAAAGGAAATTATTCGTATTGGTGCAATATATTTAAAAGCTTTTCTTTACAAAGATGAAGAATGAGGCATGTAATAATACAAAGGGAGTGTTGTGAAGAAGGAAGGGATTAGGCGAAATGGGTTTGGAGGTATAAGAAGCGTGTGTGGCAAGAAAGGCATGAATATATTTTTACATCTTTCTTAAATTACATATGCATGATTCTTTTATTATTTCTATAAGTACTATTACCTTTTCTTTATTTTGCCACATCTTTAATTTGGTTCCAGGTTCTTTGTCGCAAGTCATTACATTTTTTTCTTTCTTTCTAAAGTGTTTCCTAATAAAATTTATAACAACCTTTTCAGTGAAATGGTAGAGGGTAAAAAATTGTGCAAAGTTTAAACTATAGGCTATAACCCAATAAAAACAAATTAAAGTAGAAAACTGAATTAATAAAGTCAATGATAAGCGCTAGACGTTTTTAAAAGGAGGTTCAATAATAAATCTTTTTGACCAAATCAGTTGATACTAGTGAAACAATTTCAATTTTACAAATTTTTCAGGTGTCACTTAATCCCTTCATCTTACATAGGTCCGCCAATGCTTATCATCATCCTTCAAAACTGTACTTGGACCATCATCAAAACCAGATACAGGGGCAAGCTCGTTTAAGTCGAGGAAACGCCTTTTGCCTACTACACCCTCAACTTCTTCTTGGTCTGTGCCGTTTGATTTGTTAAGTTGATTCTTCTCTGCACCATTTGCTATCTCTCCGTTATCATTGACCTCTCTGGGCTCTTCTTCTTCTTCTTCTTCTTCTACTTGTTCTTCAGCAGATTTTGTTTCTGGGTCATTTGCATTTTCTTCAGCAGATTTTGTCTCTGTGTCATTTGCATTTTCTTCAGAGTCCTGACTTCCCATTGTGAAATTCCCATTCCCTGTTTCATCGGACTGTTCATCTGGCTCAACCAATCGCTTACGTTTTGCTGATCCTGTTGCTTCTTTGTCTGATTCTGAGAGCTCGTATTGTTGGTAATCGATTCTTGTGGCTCTTTTACTACGTCTCAGGCCTGGCCGAAAATCCTTTGACCTTGATCTCGACTTGGTTTCTCTCCGTGGCAATTTCTTAACCCTACGGGGTTCATCACTGTCTTCTTCGCTAGCACTTAGAGAATCTTCTTCTTCTTCGTCTTCCTCTTCTTCCTCGTACTCGGCATTATCTTCATCCCATTTGTACTCTTCATCTCCCTTCTCTTCCTCTCCCTCAGAACCGCTAGAAAACTTCTTCTGCTTGCGCTTCCTCAGATATTCTTCATCATAAACTGCTTCCCCAACAATCTCATCATCGCTTTCAAATTCTGCATCATTGTCTGAAACAGTTTCAACAAAGTCCGTAGCTGAATACCGCTGGGGCCGTTGTCTGCGCCTGTTACTGCCACAGCATTACGCTCGTTACTTCGAATATATCTTTTTATCAAAAATTCTGGAGGGGAAATATCAAAGGGAAAAAGAATAATACACTGTGTCTTGCCTTCTCTCCAAGGATTCATCTCTCTGCTCATCGAAATCATCATAATCAGCAAAATCAGAAGATCTCGCAGATGCTGTATCGTTCACAAGCTCAGTAGGGTAAGTTGAGCTGGTCGATCTGCCATTCGCAAGAGCGTCCAATCTGGCTGATTCTCTTCTGTGGAGAGGAGGTTCTGGCGATGGATGTTTCTTCCTGAGATAGAGTATTTACCAAAACAAGCGTAATGTAAGAGGCAATATATAAAAGTCACCAAATAAGGAAACTAACTGCATAGACAATTCAATGCAAGGGGACACTCAGACATACTTTGTTATCTTGATAGCTTCATTTATCGACCTATCATAATCATCTGCAATAATAATAAACAGCATTAGTAAAACTCTTCAGCTCAGTAGAGATCAACCTGGATATTAAACCAGTCATAAGTTAACATTACCAAAAGTGTATCTAACTGGCTTCCTATCACGGAGAGAACGGCCAGCACCAAGACCGTCAACAACCAAATAGTTATCAAGGAGAAGAGCCTGTCTATGCTGCTTTTTCAACAATTTTTCTTTCCTCTGACAGCCCAAAAAAAAAAAAAATCAATTATAAAAGGATGCAACTGATAAGAATTATTCCGCCACAAACGTGTGGTTAGTTGGTGAGTTCTGATCTACTGTAACCAAGATGAAAACAGAAACAGAAAATAAAAGCAGGGAGCGAATTGGAACCTTGTGTTCTTTTTCTATCTCAGGAAGCATATCTCTTATTAACTTCTTCCCTAGAGATACTTCAATTCTACTACTACTTGAATTAAGTTTTTCCTGCAAAACAAAGAGACACATCATCTCAGTCAGCAGTAAAGGACACAGAAAGTACAACCTATTAACTAACTATTATAATAGTTTAGTCCTTCAGAGAAGCAAGCATCAATCGACAGTCAAAACGAAAGAAATATAAATCCACAATTAACGTTTCAACAGAATAGCATAGGATCCCCGCTCCACGAAAGAAGGTACTAAAGCGTTAAAACGGATCCACAATATAGAGTTGTTTATGTTTTTCTTTTTTGGGTCAACATAAACAACATTGCCCCGGAGGGAACATCCCTCGAGAAAAACATATTGGAATCGCTAACACACACAACATACTACTAACTCACTCAATATTCAACTATGCACCTACACTGACGCAATCAAAAGATATGCACCATTCTATTGAGTAATAAAAATCTATGGGAAGATAGTTAAGTCCGTCCTTTGAAAATAACTGGCTCTCCACATGTATTTTCCTCAACATATAGACTATAATCCCACGTTTGGCATCTGTAAATTTCCATCCGTAGAGAAGATTAATATTCTAAGTGCATGAATAACACTAGCCTGCACGCTATCTAAACATCACAATCACATCAGAAGTAAGCTACCATATTTTATTGCAAGAATTAATCACGGGCTCAGTAAACAGACAGTCCGACAGTCATATAGAAGTATCCTAAGCATTATTTTCTGGCAACTCAAAAAATTATTGAATGTTGTCGAGACTTACAGAAACATCTTGGAATTCATCGAAATTGGTGGCGACAGTTTCCCATTGGTAAGTTATATTAGGAGGAATCTTGGAACCCTTTGTTTTGACCTTCACCACCTCTGCTTTCCTTATTTCCCGATATAAACGGTGACCAATTAAGGGATCATCCTCATACCTTAAATAAGAAACAAAAAAGGGCTATCATATATATGTAAACAAGAGGAACCAATTTATGTCTTTGTCTAATTGCCACAGACCAAAAATTAACTCCATGTGAATCACCCCCAACGCGATCTTTACGAAATACTGACAGATGAACGCCAGTTTTAAGAGAGTTGTCAATGTAGCTCTTGATATCCTCTTGCTGTAAAAATTCACAAAAACCACCAAAACTGTAAGTGTTCAAACTATCTTGTTTTTAGCATCGCATCAGCGAGATCCAGAGCTTAATAATGGACATCGTAAAGTGTAAACAGTTATACAAAGCTTAAAACATCGTGAAAATTCATTTCAACCCAGTAAAACACTACTAACAATAAATTTAAGAGGACAAAATAATAGCGGAAAAAAATACAGTGGTGATACACAAATACAATATAAATAGAACGACATAGAGCAGCAATAGTACCTCAACACGAATGTCACACAAAGCTTTCAAAATCACCACGCGAATAGCTGGATCAAGAGATTTGTACAATTCAATCTCCCGCCTGCGAGATTAAGACGAGAAGCGCATAAATGCTTGGTAATCAGTTACCATGAGATTCTGTAAATTATAACAACTCACCCTTGCGAGGCAACAATAGGAAGGTCTCCTTCTGCGACCTAAATAAGTAGATGAAGCTTATGTCAGAACATGATATAATGCAAAAATTACTTGACATATCAGGTCAAAGATGTTTAGCAGTCATTACCCAATGCCAACAGTCTCTTATTTTTCTGCACAAGACAGTGACCCAGGTATCACGTGTGAGGGCCATTCGAGTTACAGGAGGAATGGCCTGCAAATTGAAAAGAAAAAGATGGAATATTGCTCAAATGAGAGAAATTGTTATGCAATTTAGACATTCCATCGTAGTGAAGAAAATATTTGATTCCAAATCATGACTGCTTAGCATCCACATAAACCAAAAGAATTTGCAGCACTTACGAATAAAAAGGCAACAAGAACTATCCACAACAATTAAAAAATCAAGGAATCTTCTTTCTGTTCTAGAACAATTCAATACGGCAACAAAAGGTTATTATACTAATAAGAGCCAAAACTCCGTTAAGAGCATCCAAAAGCACGGTGGTATGACAGCAAGTTCCGTTCCTGTCAATGAGACAAACTCTCGGAAGTACATTGAAGTAAATACCGACATAAACCAGCAAGAATTAAAAAACCATCAATAAGAAAGTAGTAGCACACTAAAAGAGTAGGAAAGAAGACAACAATGGATAGCTAAAACACCAACCTTTAGCAGAGGAATATGAATATCACTCAAAGTATCATTTGGAGAAAGCAGAGCCGTTTCGAACTCTTCCGCTGAAAATTCCGCATTGATTTTCAAAAGCGGTCTAAAAACCTTCACCATCCAAAAAAGATGAGAACTTGGGAGTGAGTGAGTTACTCATTGGGAACTAAGAACCAGTAGAAGAATAAAAAACACAAGAGAAATGAAGGAAACAGAGAGCTCACATGCAAGAAATTGAGTACGGAAGCAAGTTCCCACATGGAACGAAGATGCCATCGCGGCATCTGTGAAGGTTCCGGTGGAGGGACAAGAGAAGTAACGATTTTGCCGGAGCTTGAGCCGACGCAATGCTGAGGATTCTCAGCTCCGTCCTCCTCATCCTCTTGATCGTCCACATCCTCATCTTCCTCCACCTCTTCCTCTCTCCGTCGATGCTCCCGTTTGTACTCCTTTTTTGGCGGCCTGAGCTTTCTCTCAGCGGCTTGCTGCTCTTGAAGCCGCTGCTGTGCCCTAAGAGTGCAAGCGCGTGAGGGCCTCGTTCTCCTAAGCGCCGTAGTGTCCTCCGTGGGAATTTTCGTATCCGTAACTGGAGAACCATCGTCGGCGGGAGAGTGGTGGTTCTCGGAGACATCATGGTCAAGGGAAGATCGGCCAGGGGCAATATCGGAGGAAGAACCCATCGAGAGAATGTGAGATCAAAGAGAGAGAGAGATTGAAATTAGGGTTTTTTTTGTGGGTATGAAGCGGAGTTAATCTGAGATTGTTTAGGGAGAGAGAATTAGAACCCTTGGCATTGTGGGGAAACCCAAATCGGTTAAACAAGAGAAAGACGAAGAAAAGGAAGAGGAAGGTCCAAAAGCGTCGACTGGTGTTGGGTTAAAACGTTGTCGTTTTGGGATTTCGACAGAAGAAGAAGAAGAAGAAGAAGAGGAAAATCTGAGGAAAAGAAGATGGTAAATAAATTGTCAAATTTAGGTCTCTCTGAATGATCAGAAGAAAACGACTCAGCGAGTGAAAACAACACGAGGAGAGGAGAAATAGGGGTAAACAAAAGCTAGGGCTCTCGATCGACATATATGGGCTTTTTCTTTTTGATTGCTTGTTAAATCAAAGAAAAAAAAAACTTTTATGGATTTTTGGATATAAGTGATAGATATTTTCCAAAATATTACAGCAAGTCTTTAATTTTAGAGACTTTCATCATGTTTGTACATATTAATTACAGCCATTATCTGAGACTGATAAACTTAACGGTGTAACAACTTGATTTTGTGATGCTGAGTTCAACAAACAAAAAAAGTAGATAGTATAGAGTATAGACCATATCAGAACTTCTAAAAAATGATGAATTACATAATTTGAAAATTTAGTTAGTGATATAACAGTCATGGGTATGATGTTTAGTATAATATCATTTTTCTTAATCCTAGTGTTATGAATATTTCTTTTAAAGTAAAAAGTAGGTCTCTAACTAAAAATAGATTTGGGAAATATAACTAGATGAAGTGTATGATTAACATGACAATTGAAGTAACCCATTTAAACTTTAAAAGGCTACCTGATTACCATGTAGAGCAAAAGATCTCTAACCGGCAAGGATGCTCACTACTGATCTTAAAGTTAGATTCCAAGGATATAAAATAAGATCCTGACGCTGGTTCTTTCTTACTCTTGATACTTCATTTATGTCACACAACTAAACTCCAAAAACTTATAAACATAAAAAACGAGTTTTCTTGGGATTATCTTCTCCAAGTAAATATATGTACTTGTATTTACACAAAATACATGTTACAATCATTACAAATTTAATAAATATAAACAATCAAATGTAAATACAAAGACAAATGGCTCTGTACCTGAAATAATGATATTCACATGTCAATACTCTTACCGACGATGGAACCTCTTCTCGAAGATCTGTTGGTACATAATCTTGGTCCGAAAAAGCAGCACACAGGAGATCAGAAACCCGAGGAAAGCCACAGTTGCAATAATCACAAAGGCCAATCGGAAACAACGAGGACCATAACAAGTGTTACCTTCTCCAGTAATGGTCTGATCATAGATATAACCAATCAATCTCACAGAGAAGATATATGAACCCATAGGACTAGCAATCGAGATGGTATTATAGATTGTGCCCATATGCTTAACCCCAAATAACTCTGACGTAATTGTTGGCATTAACGACCATTGTGAGCCATAACAAATTCCTACGATAACCGAACCGGCGTAGAGGTTTCCTTGAAAACCAGAGGCTATGATTAGATGGCCTAAAGTCATGGCTCCAAGAGTTGTAGCCATTAGCAACGGACGTGGCCATCCTTTCTTGTGGAGCAATGCATCCGACGCATAACCGGCTCCAAACCGACCAATAAAGTTCCATATACTCCATAAAGACAGCAACGAATTTATCTCCATTGTAGAGTATCGAAGAGACTCGCCTATTTGTCTCATGTTGTTTATCGTCGAGATCCCCGATCCCATTCCACATACCATTGCAAGAAACAACAACCAAAAGTCTACCTTACGGATAGCTTGCAAAAGATTCAAGCTTTTATCTTCATTCAGCAGCAAGATCTCACCAGAGTTTGTTGTTTCCAGGTTGTCTACAAGAGGAGAATAAGCAGGCGATAATGGTTTCTCGATATTGTCTCTGCGTGCTCTCAATGCAACTAGCAGAGGAGAGGCAAGCAGGAAGAGTAGAATTGAAAGTGTGACGGCATTGGCCCATGATGGTAAACCAAAAGTGCTCTTCAGAGTAATAATGATCATTAGGTAAGCTGCAATGATAAGAGATAAAGTTGATAAACCATCTAAATGCTTCTTCTCATCGACCGTGCTTGTCTCATAGATCCTGACAAGAGGCATCACCAAGACAGAGATAAGTGAAGGTACTACTGCAAGTAGAAGAATGAAACTCTTTGGATCTCCAGGGCATATTGTTTCATACAGTTGAATTAACATTGCTCCACTTAGACCAACAAAACCCTGCAAAAAGAAGGTCTAAGCTTAAGGGTCTTAATTACAATCAACTTTGAAAACAGTTTGTAAGAGAATTGAACAGATGGATCAATTTATAATCAATGGACATACAAGAAAAATACAAATCAATTCCTAAACTTTCCAGGAATTTTCCGACATTTAAGTTCAAAGATAATAACTTTCCAATGTATACTATTCTCCCCTGTTTTGTGAGGTCCAGTTCAACTAATTTATCAAGATCATAATGAATAATATACATCAATCTCAAGGTCCCAAAGAACTAATAAATTGACTATGGTATGGACCAACATTAAGCAGAGCTAGAAAAAATTTAAATCTGTAAAATCTTGAGCTTTATTACCTTCATAATTCCAACGGCAGTGCCACCATAATCGGCGAAATTCTCAACGGAGCTAACAACGTTGGCCGTGTTAAGAAACGTCAAAGACTGAGCAGCTATGAACATAAACAGACACATAACCGGAACCGGCGGTCGCCTAATCAGACCGGTAACGGAAGCCCACATGAGGAAATAACCGGTGAAGCACAAAACCGCTCCGACCAAAATCACCACCCACGGTCCTCCTCGACCTTCCCGTCCGTCTCTGCGACGGCGATCGAAGGTTGCTGCGGTGTATAGAAGTCCCGATAAAACGCCGACGTTACCACCGATGTCTTTGAAGACGGAGACTGTGTCAAGAGTTGATTGGTCGTAGGATTGACTTGATTTCAAGATCGCCGAGTAGATTCCGAAGGTGTATGAACCTCCTCCGGTGCACTGGATCCATATGCTCGCCGTCATAGCCATCCATTTCGTTCTCAGCCTCTCCGCCGCCATCTTCCGCCGGAGAAGACAAAAAGCTGAAGTCCCTTTTTTTTACCTGTTGGCGCAAACTGACATGCACGAATTTGATTGTTTCTTTGAATATAAATTAAATCAAAAATCATTAATTTGATTGTTTCTTGTTTGTATCCATTTATTGGGCTTGGCTCCTTGTAGGTTCGATTCTAATTATTCGGCCCATTTGGAGTCAGTAGAGCCACGTGGAATCTCTAGATTCGCAGCTTTGCACGCTACAGACACATGATGGCACGTGCGGGAGAGCACACGGAACGGGGAAATTAATTAACGGCTTTAACTAACGGAGTCAAATTGATGACCAGTTAATGGGGACACTGACTCATTCAATCAATGAACCTCAGTTTTTGTTTTTGTCGGCAGTTAATGACTCAAATATACAGTTCTTTTATTTTTTTGGACGTAAGTATACTTATTACTATTTAACATTTTAGTTTATGTTTATGTGTGTATGTAACTAATGGTGGTGGATATATTATATGATGTTTGACCAAATGAAATTGAAATATTCTGATTCAAAGATGCAAGATTTATATGATTTGCATTTCAAATAAAACACAGTAATGATTATTAAGGCAGATAAAATTAGACAATTTAGAGAAAACGACAATTAGATAATTGGCGGGTCACATGGGGACAAGTAATAATCCCGCCACAAATTAAAATGTGGGTATGATAAAAGCCTTGTTGGTTGTTCATATATCTAACGTCTCCATCACTTCGAATATAATAAAACTCTTTAAACCCCTAAAAAAATAATTAACAAATCCTCAATCAACAGCAGAGAGAAGCTTGACGACGACGATGAAACCTTTAAATTACGTTCTCTTCTCGTCAACGCGTTTCCTTCTTCTTCTTCTTCTTCTTCTTCTACCTTTTTTCTCTCCCACCTCCTCCTCCTCTCCTGTTCATGGTGGTGGATGGGAGTCGGAGATCCTCTTCCACTTCCGCCGGACAAGAACCGACGGGAGAGTAAACCGCCGGATATTGCGTCCACTTCTTCTTCTTCTTCTTCTTCTTCTTCTTCTTCTTCTTCTTCTTCCTCCGCCGTGAATGCTCGGTTGTCGGATTCTCCGATTCTACTGTTCGTTTACTTCCACAAGGCTTTCCGTGCGCAGCTGGCAGAGCTCCAGAGTCTGGCCGGTGATGCGGTCCGGGCCGGTTCCGATCTAGCGGTGGAGCTCCGCCGTAAGTTTGATTTCTTGAAGCTTGTTTATGACTACCATTCTACAGCTGAAGATAAGGTTAGATTTCACATTTTTAAGCTGTTTAGGGTGCTAATGATTCATATTAGGACAAACAAGAGCGTAAACAGTTATCATCATCTCATATAATCTTGACCCGTTATATAAATTTGTGATTTTACTAGATTCTGGAAACTCTCTGCTTGTCTTTGATGTCATAATTAGCAAAACGAAAAGACTAAATCATCTCAAAGCTTAAAAAAAGTCAACGAGTGAACAGAGTTTTACACACACACAAAAAAAAACTTGAGCCGTTCCAATTTGATTACTTTATCACAATCACTTGCTTTATGTTTAATATGATGTGTTTACTGGCAGGTTATCTTTTCAGCGCTTGACAAACGTGTGAAAAACATTGCTTTCAGTTATTCGCTTGAACATGATGCCACAGATAATCTTTTCACTTCAATTTTTCATTGGCTACATGTTCTTGAAGAGGAAAGAGGGGACAATGCAGATGTTCTTCGTGAAGTTGTATTATGTATTAGCACCATTCAATCATCCATATGTCAACATATGCTTAAAGAAGAGCGACATGTAATATATAGGTTTTACTAATTTGTCACAATTATAGAAGACTCAAAAACTAATATTATTCTTGTAATTACTCTTTACTTGTTTGTTTACCTCCTCTTGAATATGCAGGTGTTTCCATTGTTTATTGAGAACTTCTCTTTTCAAGAACAAGCATCGCTAGTGTGGCAATTCATATGTAGTGTTCCAGTGATGGTGCTTGAAGAAATTTTCCCATGGATGGCATCTTTCCTCTCTCCCATGGAGAAATCTGAAGTTGAGAGTTGCGTGAAACAAGTTGTCCCAAAGGAATCCTCCTTGCAACTGGTATATTCTCTATACTGATCAGATGTGGTCTATTTTTTTTTTTTTCCTTTTTGTAACAAAATTAAATCGTTTTTGAAAGGTCATAAACTCTTGGCTGATGGACGATAGTCGATCTTCTTCATTTACGGCTCTTACAAAGATCATGAAAGGAGTCCAGTCTGTAGAAGTGTCTGAAAATATTAACAACTCATCTCATCAGGCAGATTCATCAAGTGGGTTTTTTCAACGTTTTTGGAAATGGAGTAAAACGTCCTTGTCTAGTCCAAATACAGAAGGGTACACTCTGGTTCATGGTATTCAGATTTGGCATAATGCAATTAAAAGAGATTTGTTAGACATTCAAAAAGGATTACACCAACTGAAATTTCCAAGCCTTTCGTTGGACCTCAATGTGCTCGTGGTTCGGCTAAACTTCCTTGCTGATGTCCTTATCTTTTATGGGTAAATATTATTTGGGAAACTTTGATTTTTTTTTTCTTTGATATGGTGTATAGTTTCTTGGACTTGTCCTGTTTCATATTATCCTCTTTTTCTCTGAGAAACCGGTGACATACTTCATTGCAGTAATGCATTTACAAGGTTCTTTTACCCAGTGTTTGAAGAAATGGTGGATCAACAATCTTCCAGTTCCAAACAATTTACCATAGATGCCCATGTGGAGAACTTCAAGAGGTCGCTAGACCTTGAAACTAGAACAGGGAGTGACAATTTTGTCATAACGCTTCAGGAGAAACTGGAATCCCTTATATTGAGAATAGCAAAACAGTTTTCTGTAGAGGAAACAGAGGTAAACTGTTTAAAATTTATTCAATTTTTTTTTTAAATAGTGACTTTAGTTTCCACTTCTCTTGTTTCCATATGATATCCAAAGTATTCACTCATTGTCCTCCAGGTATTCCCCATCATCAGCAAGAATTGCAACACTGAAATGCAGAGGCAGCTCCTATACAGGAGCCTTCATGTTCTGCCTCTTGGATTGCTCAAGTGTGTCATAATGTGGTTTTCTTGTCAGTTATCCGAAGATGAATCTCAATCAGTTATTTACTTCTTAAGTTGGGAAGATTCTTTTCCCAATAAATCTTTTGCGCACCTCTTGTTGCAGTGGTTTCGCTTTGGTTATTCAGGCAAAACACCAGTTGAAAGTTTCTGGAATGAGTTGTCCTTTATGTTCAAACCGAGATGTCCCTTTGAAGAGGAATACACTGAAGAAGCTTCTGGATCTTTATGCAAAGGATCTAATCCTTATTTGCTTGCATGTCCAGGAAACAAAAATAAGTCTTCGACCTCAATGGATCAACTTAATGGTTACATGAATGAGACACCCTACTCAAGTGCAATGAATCAACAACTAACTATCCCGGGAAAGCTCAAGCCTCTTCAACAGCTTCCTGGTTTTTTGGGTGACAAGAATATTGGCGATGATCACTAAATTATGGACTTGAAACCGATCGATCTAATTTTCTTGTTCCACAAGGCAATGAAGAAGGATCTGGACTACCTTGTATGTGGTTCAGCACGACTGGCATCAGAGTATAGCTTCTTTGGGGAGTTTCATCAAAGATTTCATCTTATAAAGTTCTTGTATCAGATACATTCAGATGCAGAGGATGAGATTGCATTTCCAGCCCTGGAATCAAAGGGTAAACTACAGAACATTAGTCAGTCATACAGTATTGATCACGAACTTGAAGTCGAACACCTCCATAAAATATCATTCCTTCTGAATGAGATGGCAGAACTCAACATGTTGGTATCTACTATCAATTCAAATGCAATGGACCAACACAGGAAGCTGAAGTATGAGAAGCTGTGTATGAGCCTCCAAGATGTATGCAAATCCATTCATAAGCTATTGTCTGAGCATCTCCACCGTGAAGAGACTGAGCTCTGGTGTTTATTCAGAGACTGCTTCACTATCGAAGAACAAGAAAAAATCATAGCGTGCATGCTTGGAAGAATGAGTGGAGAAATATTACAGGATATGATTCCATGGTTAATGGAAGCTTTGATCCCTGAAGAGCAACATGCCGTGATGTCTTTGTGGATTCAAGCAACAAAGAATACTATGTTTTCCGAATGGTTAACGGTATGGTACAATAGTCATGTTATGGGAGAGGAAACAAAGGAAGCAAATAAGGATCCATCTGAGGATTTAGATCCACTTGATATTGTTTGGAAATATCTCTTTGAAGGAGCTGATCAGGATGGAGGGAACATTTGCAGCAAACATATGGAATCTTTGGAGACAAATTTAAAGAGTATCATGAATAAGCCACTTGGAAAGGATGCACCAAATAACAAGGCAGAAGTTGGCAACAAAGAGGAGAAGAATCAAGAAATCTCAAAAAGTAAAAAAGTATGTATAGGAGCAGACGTTAGAAGGTACAATGAACAAACTAACAGCAATTGTCCGGCTCAAGCTTTCCAAATGGCTAAGAAATCTAACCAATCTGGCCAAGCTAGTAAGTATGAATACCTATTATCAATGAGTCAGGAGGATGTGGAGGCTACAGTTAGAAGAATATCCCGTGATTCAGCCCTGGATCCTCAGAAGAAATCATATATCTTGCAGCACTTGTTAATGAGGTAAGCGCTGCAATTTTTTTTTGTAGGAAAAATATTTCGTCATGCTATAATACTATTTGAGTCTGCTTAGTCTTGTACTTAGAAAACCAAAATTATATCTAAACAACTCCTTTTTAAATAGAAAATCTAAATTTGTCGTTGTTCTTTGTTGTGACTTATACTAGGCTGTATACTTTTTCAGCCGTTGGATTGCTACACAGCGGATACATAATCTTGAACCATCCATACTCTCAAGCAATAGGGAAACAGTTCCTGGTCAGCATCAATCCTATCGAGATCCTCACAAACTAATCTTTGGTTGCAAACACTACAAGAGGAGTTGCAAGCTTCTAGCTCCTTGTTGCAACCAGCTCTTCACATGTATACGGTGCCATGATGAAGAAACTGATCACTCAGTGGATAGGTAGTGGCATGTATGGTAATTCCATCTCCATGTAAAGAAAAATCAGTTATATTGTTGCACTCTCATGCATCTTTAATTTTATTAAATACTTGTGCAGGAAACATATCAAAAAGATGATGTGCATGAAGTGCCTGATAATCCAGCCAGTAGCTGCGAGCTGCTCAAATAGTTCATGCAATTCGTCAATGGGAAAATATTACTGCAAAATCTGCAAATTATTTGACGATGAAAGGTAATCTTCTTCATATGCTTCTTCAGCATCTATATTTTTGATTCTCAACATATCCTATATATTTTAAAATAGTAATCAGAAGAAAAATTCAGTAGAAAGTATTTGAAATTAAATACCTTACTCTCGCTTGAAAATATTTGAAATTTTATAGAATATCCTGATGAGATTGGTAGTTTCTGACGTTCAAAGGCTTTCTTTGCAGGGAAATCTATCACTGTCCCTACTGCAATCTCTGTCGTGTAGGAAAAGGATTAGGCATTGACTACTTCCATTGCATGAAATGCAACGCTTGTATGTCGCGTACCTTAGTAGAACATGTATGCAGAGAGAAATGCTTAGAAGACAATTGTCCGATTTGCCATGAGTACATTTTTACCTCCAACTCTCCGGTGAAGGCCCTTCCATGTGGTCACGTGATGCACTCGACATGCTTTCAGGTGTTTAACTTTCTCAATATGTTTTTTTTTTCTTTCCCAGCTATGAAACACTTAAAATCTATGCTAAGAATGTTACTTACGAGTCTGTTTCTGATTGTAGGAGTACACATGTTCGCATTACATATGCCCCATCTGCAGTAAGTCACTAGGGGATATGCAGGTTAGTAACACCAAAATTCTGACTCTCTCCATGAACAAATTGCTAAAAAAAGTCAGCTAATGCCATCAAATGCTCAAACACTGAGGTCATTCACTAACCAAAGAATTTTCTCACACAGGTTTACTTTAGAATGTTAGATGCACTGCTCGCAGAACAAAAGATGCCAGATGAATACTCAAACCAAACTCAGGTTCCACTTTCTCTCTTCTCTCTTGATCTTATGCATTTGCAAAGTATCAGTTCATATTCCTAGGTTTAAGTAAAACCTACGGATGGTTGGTTGCAGGTAATACTATGTAATGACTGTGGGAGAAAAGGAAATGCTCCTTACCATTGGCTCTATCACAAGTGCTCTTCTTGCGCCTCCTACAACACCAGACTTCTCTAGTTCCTTCTCCAATCTTCCTTCTTTTTGTCCATTGTACATCAGAAAGTCTATAACAGTTTTTTTCTTTTTAAAAGCATCTAATTTTGTATGGAAATATTTATTCTACATGCATATTAATAAATGTGGAAATGTAGGTGTTTGTTAACCTCATTTAATATCAAAATACTATCATTGCAAGAGGAAGATACAATTGAAAAGCAGAGGACAAAAGACTGGAGAGACATTCTTAGTCCATCCCTAACCTTAACTTATGACTTACAAGCTAAAACAATTCATAAGACGCAATCGGCCAAAAGATAAAATAAAAAACTAAAGCCTAAAATGTGAAACAAAAACTCACAGCAAATGCATCCTCTCAACATAAGACTGAAGCAACCACTTGTTGAGAGACTCACCAGATCCAACGAAACAGCCTGAGTTTCCATTCTCCATAAAAAACGGTGAACCAAAGATATTGAGTAGCTCCTCAACTGCTTTTCTCACCATTGATGTGCCAGTGACTCTACTACGTCTTCCCCAACCAGTTACTATATCAATCCGAGAAGGACAAGATCCCGAGACTAACATCTGCTTACGAAACCAAGCAAGAGTCCTAGACAGCGCGGTTATTGCAGTTCCCTCTGACATCACATGGAGATTGATAAGCCAGTAGCTGCTGCTTTTCTCCCTCAATGCATCAGGAAACACGTTCTTTTGTGCTGCAACTTCCCAAACAGATCCCGCCTCTTCTTTTAGCCCGGACTTGTGTAGAAAGTCAACCACCGCGTCCACCAGTCCTCGCTTGCTCTCTCTGTCCTCACTGTGCATGAGTTCCAAGAAGTTGTTCACATGGTTGCGCACGTTTTGACCATCGGGACCCGCAGGTGGCATCTTGAGGAGAAACGTGTGTGCCGGATGACCCGTGCTTGCCATTAGCTGGCCACAGAAACCCATGTCAAGTTTTGACCGACCATCAGTGCAACAACTCAAGAGTAACGTGTATGTCTGCAAAGAAGGGCGTAGACCAAGCACCAGCATGTTTTGTAACAACTCATAAGCTTCAGCTATCATGTTGACCCTAAGGAAGGTACTAAGAAGAGAATTGCATGTAGGAACATTAGGTCGCAGACCAGCATGAAGCATTGCCTGATACCAGTGCCACGCCTTTTCCACATTACCAGATTTTCCCCACAAATCCACCAAAAGACCATAAACCGGCTCATCAGGAATCCAATTCTTATCCTGCATCTCGGTGAAAACAGCCTCTGCTTCCACGAGATATCCACAGTGTCCAAGCACCTCCATCACAATACTATACGTCACTTTGTCAGGCTCAAAACCAGCATTTTGCATATCACGGTAAAGTTTCAACGCGCTCTGATAGTTTCTTGCTTTGGCATGCAAGTCTATCATTATGTTGTAGGTAACCAAGTTAGGGGTACAACCCTGATCAACCATCTCACAAAAGAGCTTGTGTGCAGCAGGTAAATGTCCAGCTTTTCCGAGACAGTTTATTATGACACTGTAAGTAAAAGTATCAGGAGAAAGACCTGCTGCTTGCATTCTCTGGTACATATCCATGGCAATCTCGAGAAATCCAGCCTTAGCATGAATATCTATGAGGGTACAGTAAGTCACCCGGTCAGGTCTGCATCCAGCCTCTTGCATTTGATTGAACACATTCATAGCTTCATTCAGGTAATTGGCACGACCATAGCTGTGGATAAGTCGGTTATATGTAACAGTATTTGGCTGGCATCCATCTCTAACCATCTCATCCAGGAGCTTGTTTATTGCACCAAATTGCTTAGCACGACCGAGGTTACCCACCATAGTGGTATAAGTGTGCCCATCATGCTTAAACCCAGGTTGCCTTTTTAGCCAGTAGAAGAAACCAAGAGCATTTCCATGGTCATTCATCTGCTTAAGGACTTGGTTTGCTTGGTATGGATCCATCCTTAAACCAAGATTTTGAAGGGCATCTTCAGCATCAGGGCCCCACCTGAATCTCCGCAAAACGCTGGAAACATTTTCTACAATGTGCCCGCTATTACAGTACTGCCTTGAAGTCAGAGAAGTCCCTGAATGCACTTTCATCATTTCAGTTGAAGAACCGTTTGACACAAACCTGTTCGAATCGATATTGGGTCTTTGCAACATGCTTGTCCTCTTGACATATGTGTTATTTGTTGCCGTTATTGAAACTTGTTTGAATCCTTTAACAAATCCAGCTCGTTCAGCTTCCTTAGCTCCTCGGAAGTTGCTAGTGGGATTTCTAATTTTATCCATTGAAGACTCTTTTGCAGCTGATCTAGGATAAACTTTAGCAAAGTGCTCTCTTCTAATAGCTTTCACATTCGAAGACTTGACACTTGTAATAGGTCGAGTGGGATCCACCATACAGCTTTTCGAAAATCCAAATGCTTCACTTCCTCCATCAGAGGAGGGAATCTTACAATTTGCTAAATCTGAAAGAAAGTTAACCGCTACAATACCGGCCCTGAAAATCTGATCCCCAATAGGTTTTGAAGAAGCCTCCTCCTCTCTAATGATAGTTGATGCATAATTAACCGAATGTGATTTACTCGGCAAAGCAGGAGAAGAAGGAACATGCTGTGGCAATAGAGATGGCCGACCAAACTCATCAACCTTCTTTGGAACCACCGATTTACTTATCTCTCCTGGTAACAGGCTTCCCACTACCGAAGGTTTAAGGACAATACTGGATGGTCGTTTTCCAGTCTGTGCAGCTTCATACCTAAGTTGTTGGCGTCTCGAGAGACAAGTTTCATCATCGGTGTATGCACAAGTATTCCCATCAGCTGCACTTGATCTCGATCCACCAATCAAAAAGGATCTTGCTGCACTTGAAAGGTTACTAATTTGCTTTGCGCGTATCATTTTTCTGCAGAAAAACAAATGAAATTCGCAGATTCAGATAGACTCAGAGGAGTTGATCATCAAGCATACATAGAAAAAAAAGAGCTTTCTAACCAATTCATGAATCAGAAGAATACCCGTTTTAGCTCTTCTCCAAACTTAGTACATTACTACAACAACTAGCTTCGTCCCAACAATTCAAAGCCTCCACTTTTTTTTTTGTATACTCACAAGTCACAAGTGAACCTTTTGAAATGAGTAAAAATTCATCCATCGCTCGAATACAGCAATGTCTATACTTCTTCTGCATACCCCAATTTGAAACATTCAATTCTAACAAAATGCTTATGCTATTATAAGAATCCTTTCTCCACCTCTGATTCAAGTAACAATCTACTTGATCACATTCGAATCTCAACAACGGTAAAAAAACATTTCAATTCCGAAATTCAGTAGTGTTGAGCTAAAATCTCGAGAAACGCGTTAAACTCAGAAGAAGGGAAAAAAACATCAAACTCATCGTGTGAATTTTATCGGAGAGAAAGTGAAAAGTAAACGAAACCCAGAAATCTTCGTGCGTTGGTTAATAAGGGAAACGAAGCGAGATAAAGGAAGAAAGAAGAAATAAGCGAGATCAATAGTATATAAAAGTCACCTGAAAAACGATTGCTTTGACTTCCTCTGTTATGGTTTTGATTTTCCTGAAAAAATTGTTCAGGAGGAACTGAAAACAATGGAGGCAAAAGTTCGTCTTCTTCCCGTCAATATTGAGAGAAGCGTCCTTCTACTCTCCAAGCATATTGGTCACACGGAGACTGCGAATTCAAGGTGACAACTTTTTTGGCTCTGTTTTTATATTTTCTTACTTTCCAATATACCCCTAATCTTTCACTTGTTTTCAAATAACATATAGTAGTAGTCTTATTCCTTTCATAATGCTTTCAATTATTCTCCCTTTCGAAAATTCTTTCTCATAAGGTTTAATCCAGTACATTGATACAAAAAAATTATCTATCGTTCTTATTTTTTTTTGATATAATAGATTACACATGGTGGAATTAGTAGTAGTATTTTCTGTGATTCAACTAATATAAGTGTCAAATTTGTTAATTTGAAAAATATATAGTTTGATTTATGGAATTATAGAAGAATCTGTGGCTTTGGCTAAGAGAGCAGAAAAAGTTGAGCTTCTTTTCAGTATTTCTTCTTTTACCTTTTCCTCCTTTGGCTATTTCTTATTTGCAACGTAGAAGCTTTGCCCTCCTCAAGTTTCGTAAGTCTTCGATGTACACGTGGCGTTACTGTCACTGTCTTGTTACTTTAGTATTCAGAGAAAATTTCTTTTTTTCTGTAGTATTTTGGACTGTTGAGATTTGAGAGAGAGATGTGGTGAGAAGTTGAGAAATGGGAACCATTGACTAGGGGTGGGCGTTCGGTTAACCGAACCCGAACCGAACCGATATTTTCGGTTAATCAGTTGTTCGGTTCTCTTATTAAATATCCATTCGGTTATTTTGATGATTTCGGTTCGGTTCGGATCGGTTCGGATCGGTTCGGATTGTTATTATACAACCGATTATAATCCAAAAAAATTGGTGGTAATGGATGTTCGGTTTTTTTGTAAACCGAAAACACCGAAACAACAAAAAAAACCGAAACAACCGAAAAAAAAACGAAAAAACCGAAAATTATCCAATATATCCGAAATTTTTGCAAAAACAAAATGTGTTTCAGCTTTCAATCCCACACAAACATAAAAGATAAGTGACAATCACAATCCAAACAGAGAAGCTGAGTTCCAATCCAGAAAATAATAAGACAAAGAAACAAAGTTCCAGCTTTCAATCATACCAAGTCTAAACTCCAAATTCCAAACTTCAAAGAATGCATCTGATACCTATAAACATAAAAAAAAACAATGAGAATCATTCATCTTGAGAATATGAAATCAAGAGATCATGTATCTAATTAAAAAAAAAAGATGAGACTTACATTAATTTTTTAGCACTGATTCTTGAGAAGATGAGAATCATTCATCTTGAGTCAAGTATCCTTGTAAATGAAATTCTGCATATACGAACAATGAAAAAAATACAACATTAGTAATTTAGAATGTTATAAGCTGAATAGACTAATGATGAAAATTACCTCTCATAAGCTTGTCCTCATTTTCAAATTCGGCCATGATTTGTTCTTTTGTAACCATATATCGAACTTCTTTGCATCGAAGGTCTTGTTTCAACCACTGCTCTGTGCACATTAAAACTTCAACCATATTGTGAGTTAGAC